ATAACGGTCTGATTGTTATTCACTGTGTTGTAATAAAAATCAGTTTTTAAAGTTTGAATCGTTTTATTTAATAAGTTACATACTTGGACATCATCAAAAATATTTTTTTAATTCAAGGAGTTTATTCATGGCGCATCTTTTGGAAAAAGATCAAGTTTTTATCATTTTCTCAGGCCGAGATACATACGAAATAAAATGTTCTAACATATGATTGTTTTTTTGACAATTCGAAAAATGCTAGGTTTTCATATTGCCACCAGAAGTGATAGCCTTTCAAGAGTATTTATGACCTTTGTATTAGGCAAAAACAACTTTATACTCTCCTCTTCCAAATAAAAAAATAATATGAGATTAAGCTTGTTCAGTAATGGAGTTATACGCATTTTTTAACATGCCGGAATTTTGGGACACCCAATGTGTTGACAAACGACGTGCTATCATTAAATTATTATGTTCAATTAAACATGACGCATTTAAGCGTTCAAAACGTAGTAATTCACTTGCGTCGGATGGGTATTTAAATATTGGCAACCTAAAAATATATCGTTATAGTGTCTGAATGTTACTATAGCTCATGATTTACCAATATATTCCTCATATCCTAGCTACATAATAGAGCACGAGCGTAATTTTTAATAATAGGTTACTTATATAATATCTAGCTCCTTCTTCCATGTCAGAATTTGACGATATTTTTTTATCTTATGTGTGTTCTCTTGCTCATGTCATGTGAATGCCAAAGGTTGGAATACTGGTGACCTATCTATTTATATAAATCTATAATGAGAGTTCTGAGATAGCTGGAAAAATTTGGACAAAAACAAGTTAATACTTGATAAGTGACAGATTTGAAAACCGTCTCTTTTTTATTCTAAAGTTTTACGCATATTTATTACTGATCAAGAAGTAAATGCACAGTACCGAAGCAGATTTACTGTGCTTCATTAAGTATTTATGACCAACTGAAACAGGAAGTTGATCAAGATTTACTGCAGATTTATAATGAATAGGAAAATTCTTTATCGAATAATACCGTATATCTTTGAGTACTGAGAGAAGCACGTTTTGATTCCATCTGACGACCAAGATATCAAAGAGCGGGGTGGTAATAAATTTTCTTTCGGAGTCCTCGATCAGGTCAAGGTCGAATGATACAATCCTTGTCATCACCAACCTGCTGTAATGTATTTCTAAAACGATCTCAATGACGAGAAAAATTTGAACAAAGATAAGCTCATTTTTACTAACGTCCTGCCCGGTCATTTAGAGGTTGTAGAAAACACTTTAATGATAGAAAAATTAGAGTAAAGTAACTCCTCTTAGCATGATCATCTATTCTTTTTATCTTTACCTACTGGCATCATTAATTCATGAGTAAGTTTATCATACGAAAACACGAAAAAAGAGAACCTCATGTGTTTAGAGAAAACAACAGAGAGAATTTTTAGATTTTTGCCTTATAAATTGCAAAACATATAACTAATATTTCTTTTAATCCCGATTTTCTCCAGCACAAATTCATCAGACTGAAGTTAATACTTTTAATAAAAACATTTCCACGTGGATGGTTGCATCAATCAGAGCTATATAATGATAACTCTAAAACTAATGTAAGGTCATGTAGTTATCGTAAAACCATTAAGAATCCCTCAAAACCGTCATATCTCTGATTTTTGACTATTGTCTACAGCTTTTTTTCTCGTTTGACAAGCTGAGTGGGTAGAGCATGAAAAGTTGTACCTAATGTGATATTTTCACATCATTTCCAGGTTTCCTTAGAATACGGTAGCAAAAACACTTAGATGAACCCAAAATTTGTTATGGTTTTCGGTCCTTTTTAGATATTTTCGAGCATTTTAGAAAAAATTAAAAACCTATTAGGTACAAATTCTGAAAGAGCAAACAACACATCCTAATACTAATTTTCAGAATTTTTTCCGAAATCCTGAGGGAGATTTCAGGCACTAAAAAACCCATGGTGGAATTTTGGAAAACTAAGTGGTAGAATATGTTCCTGATATCACTCTGATATGTTGTACATCGAAAAAACTGAAGTTCAATGGGAAACCGAAACCACTGGCCCACCTCCTTTGGTCTATTTTTATAAAATAAAATATTTTTCAGTTAGTTTAAAAGTACCCTGCTATGAATTAAAGAAAGATGACTAATGTCAATACGCTTCATCGGACAGACAGAAAATACGACTCAATAGTCGATTCGTCATTTTTCGCAAAACACACATTATAAAACATTTCAGACGGAGGTAATGTCACACAATGACTAGAAACAGTCACTAAAAATATTACTAGCGACAATGATCTAATTTTGCCGTCTACCCTAATAGTGCAAAGTAATTTTATAGAAAAGGAGAGGTTTTTACACCTAGAATATTTCGAAATTTTTTTGAAACGCGTGTTCTAATTTATCCAGTGCTAATAACGAATTTCCGATTCAGTTATAAGCGGTGATTCGTTTTCCATAATCTTTTTATCCTGACTAATAGGTCTGCTTAAAGCTATGAGGAATTCTGCAAGTTTATACGGATGAAAGTTGTTAAAAGGTTACATAGGATTCGAGAGAGAGACAAAGCGGCCGCACTTAATACAAACAAACGAACGGGTAATTCGTTTCTTATTAGTTGTATCTGATGAACAGTAGGAGAGATGGATCAGTGTTAACAGGAGTAAAGTGTTCTCGTCAATGCAATTTTCGATTCATTGCTCAATATTTTGAGAGAAGTGATGATTAATATAAGTGAGAAGATGTAACAGATTTCAATATACAATGTACAATTTTATTGGCTAGATGTTCTACGGTTTCAAGTATATCTAATTGAAACGAAGAAGTTTTTGTTTATAACATTCTTTGAACACAAATACTGCCGTGAAAAGTTTTGAGATATCAAACCGAACAATATGACCACATAGATAAACCACATTCGATTTTTTTAATGTTTTGTTTCTGCATACAAATTTCGAAATAAAAGGATATGTCTATATACATATTGATATATCTTTATATATGTCTAAAGTAAATTAACTGTCATGTCATTGACATCGAATTCATAAATAACAATGTGGTGAAAGATCTGTTGTAATACTTGTCGTGAGCTAATCGAATGGATAAAATCACAAACAATTCTGATGGTGTTTGCTTTTCAAAGTTTCATACAAATAGCCAAAGAGAATGTTATTTTACGATAATAACGAGAAAAACTGTTATAAAACCTGTCTTACGTTAGATTTAGATAAATTAGTAATAGTAACTCTGTTTTTTTTGCTAATTATTTTATCTTTGACTTTTGAAATAAAAGTTAATAACTATTTTTTTGATTAATGTTATTGTTCAATTGTAGGATAATGATCGTTTTTACATATGTTTCGTCTTATCCTTTTATGTTTGTGATATTTTGTGAATTTTGATTCAAAATACATAAATCATTGCCGATAATGGGAAAAAAAAAGATTTTTACAATTCATTCTGTTGACGTAGAAAACGTACCATCAAAAATTCAAATATACAAATAATTTTATTTCTGAAATATTTTCTTGAATTTGAACATTTGAAAGTCGCATCCGACTAAAAAACAAACTATTTTAATGCTAAAAAATCTCTGAGTAGAAATACACAGTGTCTGATGGTAAGTTGACGAATATTTTTTATTTTATTTTGATCTAATGAAATAGTGCTATAGTCTTCCAACAAGCAGACAATTTTGACATTCAATACATTGAATATTACAGCTATTCTTTGATTAAAACTAAAAGCAAGAAGTTCAAAAATCAAGTTTTAATAGTATCTAGAGTTTCAGGATAGAATGACAGACAAAAATCTAATGTAAAATTCTGTTGCTTCAATGTTTATTTTCTCTTTGCTATCAACAGATAGGCGTTTATTATTATTAATTTCTCTATCATATGTGCTTAGAAATCACCTCAATTAAGCCTTGTTAATCCTTTATTTGATGATGTTCTAATCCCAAAAAGTTAAAAAATATTCTTTTATTAACACGTTTTGTACGTGGTCAGATCTAGAACATTCTTTTATTGTTGAATTTGAGATTTACAGTAGTTTATTACTATACGATTGATATCCCAGAGTGCAGTTATTGCTCTCAAGTTTTATCTTTAACTCTCTTTTCTCTTTTTCGCTTTGTGTAACAATAAATCATCTTTTTATGAGTTTCATCTTTTTTTCTTCAGATGTTTGATATATATATATATATATATATATATTGTATGGTACTGCGAACTTTCATCGAAAAGGAATTTCATTGAAAAATATATTTCTATTTCTATCAAAATTTTTTTTACTGTAGGGTGTGGTTACGAAGCTTAAGCACGGATAAGACTTTAGCAGATCGCAGAGCTATGTGAGTGCATACGAAAGCTCTTTTTGAGGAGGAAAACCATGAACCAAGAACCAAAAAATATTTTTGATGAAAGTTCAGTAAATCATACAATTTCTCTTCGTCTGTCTAATATTTTACTTTTTCGTTAGGCAAAGACAATAAAAAATTAAAACCAGATTTCTTTTGTTATGGAAGTTATTGTTTTTATTATATCTCCATGAAGTGCAAGAGGTTAATACTATCTTTTGACAAGAAAATAAAAGACGTATTTTAAATGCTGTTACCTATTAGTTAAGCAGTAAAAAGAACTAAAAATAGAAAAGTATACATTCTTCTGAAATATTTTATTAAAAAAGAACTGATATCCAAAATCTCTCAATGAAAATACATCACAATGTTCATAAAAATTTTTGATATTGAAACGAAAGTTTCTGTCAAGCACATAAGCTGAACTTACATACACAAATCAAAATTAGTTGATAAAGGAGTTATGGTGATCCGGCAGATTGAACAAAAATAACAAATACAATATTGCTCAGGTGAAACATACCATACAGGATCTGTTTTTTATCTTATACAATCTTCTGATGTCTTTTGATGTGATTTTCTAAGATCTTGTCTTAAGATCGTGTGAGATATTATGATGGTGTGAGGTAGATTTTTCAAGAATTTACAAAAAAACAAGGAGATGTAGTACTTTTGGAGCTAGTGAATGTGATTTGAGAAGCTAGAGAATGTGATTAAACAGTTTGATGATGTTGATGTTTCCCGTATACCAGAATCACTAGAAGCGGGAAAAGCAGACGAGGACACCCGTAGAGAAAACCATGTGTGCGATTTTTACTGATCTAGTGGATTTCCTTCAAGTTCATAAGAGTTCTTATCAAAATTTTTTGTATGAAATTGTTGCAAGAAAAACTTTGTGAAATGTCACAAGAATTTTACACACTTTTTCTTCAAAATCTTATAATTTTTTGACACATAATCTTGTAAGATCATACAAGGTTTTGCTTGGTCATTTGGCAAGACTCATTGATGTAAATCATTCACGGTAAGTGGGGGTTTCTTCTAATATTTTGCTCAAAAACCTATCTTTCCTGCTTGAAATGAGAGAGAAATGTTTTTCTCGTGATCGTGTTAATGATTTTTGTTATTTAAGCGTCAGAAGAGATACAAGTGAATTTTAAAGGAAACTATAGCAAGAGCGCTTCGAAAAGTTTTGCTCTTCATTCCAATCAAATGTGATGCCGCATTTTAGGAAGCAGTTCATTTCTTAATTCATTATCTACAGGATTTAACCAAAATTTCTCTTGTAGATGTACCACTGGATATTTTGTGTCCAGTTAACACTGCAATCATTACAATTCTCTAGCACCTTTGACTCAGAATTCAGTTTATCATCTTCTATCGAACGTTTTCGTAGACAATCTCCATTTGCAGATAGACAAGATCAAATGAAACACTTTCAAAGACGGAATACTTTATCGACATTGGCACATTTAAATATACAATCGTAAGAGTTTCATGATAGTCGTATATAAAGGAGAGTTAACCTCATAAATTTATTTTCGAAGATCATACCTTGTTGTTGGTCCAAAAGTCATTCGTCCCTCTGACATTGTGAGTGTATGGATACTTATTTTAAATGACGACTGGAATGTAACAAATATAGCCGTATCGATCTTTAATCGAGATGAAGAAGTAGCTGCAGGGCAAGAACAAGTTTCACCAGCAATACCAACACCTGTACTAATGCAGGTACAAATACAAATGATGTAGAATATGAGTGTCTACGTTTATAGACAGAGACACTTATTTATGAAAATTTTGAAAAGAATGTTATTTTATGAGTGTTTACTAAAGTATCCTAAAAAATACTTGAATATTCTCAAATATTTCAATCACATGTCGCTGCATATAATAATATTTTCTTATTTAGATTCCGTCGAATGCACGAAATGGAACGTATCGATTATATGTGAGAGCTACATTACCTGATGGTGAACTTAGATTTTACAATGAAACAGACCTGGAATTTCAATTAAAATCATTGTCCATCTTCATTCAACTTGATCGTCCCATGTACCGGCATGAACAAACAGGTAACATCTGTAATACATCTAGTGTATTACTAATCTAAATTATTGTCTTTATATTTTCAGTTAACTTTCGGTGTATTCCTGTATATCCAGATCTGAGTGGTTATTATAGCACAATCAGTGTTTATATCATCGTATGTTTTCTAGAATAGTTTTAATAAAAATTCTAATCATAGTTAGATATTCTAGGGTCCAATGAATAATATTTTAAGAAGATGGGAAAATCTTCAAACAAGTTCTGGTAATTAACAACCTACATGTCAAATAAAATTGAATATAAATATTATATTTTTTTCTTAAAGGACTTGTGGAATTATCTTATACATTAGCGTCATTCATTGGCTTTGGTACATATAAAATTCGTTGTCAAGCACAAAATACCATTGAAGAACGTCCATTCTTGGTCGATTTTTTCCGTTAGTATCATTTCGTAAGATATTATTACATATTCTTAGTACTTTTTTTGCATGATATACATGAGATTCTTTACTTAGTTTTATATGGTAATCCATCTGTAGATAGATTTAGTTTGCTTATAAAACAAAACATGTCTATAAAAATAGTAATAACTAAAAGATATATTTGAAGATGATGTTTCTCTATAGAAAAATAAGTAGATGATATACTTATCAAAGACAACACATATTCCTAGATGCATTACATCTTCTGGTTTTAGAAAAAATCCTGATGTGTTGAGCTCTTTTACTTCTATATTCAATGATTCAAAAAAACTCGTAGCTTAAACAAATTTGATTTAGCTTATACAAGTCAGATTATTTTAATATAATCCTTTTTTCCTATTTAAGTTCAGAAAAAAATTGAAGTCAATGTATCATTGCCATTATTCATTCATGTTGATTCACCAACGGTATCTGGTATCGTTACGGCAAAGTAATATTATGTTCTAATCATTTTTAATATTTTAAATAAATTCTTTTCTGTTTAGTTACACAACTGGACGTGGTGTTGTTGGACAAATGCGTCTAACAGTACGTTTAAGAAAAGAAGATGAACATTTTGAACCTGCTGTTCATCCAATACCACCTGATCAACCGGGACCAAAACTCGATTATTTCTATGAATTTGTAACTATAATCAACAGCAATTACAACCAAATTCTATTCATAAAATTATTATTATTTGTTTTAGTTCAATGGTCGAATAGATTTTTCTATTCCTATGGTAGAAGTTGTTGATCAATTTGGTAGTTTAATTAATCGAGAACTAATTGTAACAGCAACAGTTTTTGATCCATTATGGAATGAAACAACAAATTCATCATTTTTAACATCACTTTACACTACTGTTTACAAATTAAAATTTCTCAATAGACAATCTCGTGTATTCAGACCAAGAATGAGTTATATTGCTTATGTAACTATTTATATATTCACTTTATTTAAATAGCAACGTAATCTTATCTTTCAGATAGCTGCCCTTAATGGAGATAATAGCCCATTTCATCTACATAATGATACAATGAAAAAAAGCACTTTCATTCGTATTTATGTCAATTTTGATAATTCAAAATCATTGGCAGCTGTCGAATATCCAATTAATGATGATTCAATAATTAAACATGAAATTCTTGTACCACCGGACGAAGATGCATATTATATGTCAGTTCGTGTATGTATAGATTTTGTAAGATCTTTAAAAAAGACGATCATACTGTTGATTCTATTCATAGGCTGAATTATTTATCAACAATACATATGTTCCAAATACACTAATTGAACAACGTTCTGTTCGATATCAATCACCCAGTTTCAGTTTTATCCAAATCTCAACATCTACATTTCATCCTCGTGTATGTAGGTATCGAATAAGTGTTTGTTGACACACTGTTCATTTTAACTTGTTCTATTCAGATCGATGATTTTATGATATTTACAGTAAATATAAGTCATTATTGTGAGCGAGTTTATTATCATGTAAGTCGTTGATGCTTTAATAACTTTTAGTCAATTCACTGTAATTCTATTTCAGATTGTAGCATCAAGTCGTATTGTTCATACAGATATACTTCGTATGAATGCCTTACAACAAAGTTTTGATGTAGCAATCACACGTAAAATGGCACCGTCAGCACATATCATAGCCTATTTCATTCATACTACCGGTGAACTTGTAGCGGATGTATTACATTTTCATGTTAATATTACATCATTCGCAACACATTTAAATTTAACTATTAATCAACGAAAAGATTTAAGCGGAAAGACTGTCGAATTATTATCTTATTCATCACCACAATCGGTCATAGCATTTGCTGGTACAGAATATGCACAACATCAATTGTATGGTGGAAATCAATTAAGTGAAATGGCGGTATAATGAAACTAAATTAGACAATGCTAAATGTTGTTTTATCAATATTGCATATATTTAGATCTACAATGAATTGTATACGTACGATATTAATGCCGAGCCAGGTCCAAATATCACATGGTATCAAGATTTTTTAACACCTATAACAACAATATTCAGAGTTGGTCATTCTTCAGCATCTAATGTTTATGAAGTATTTAAATATACTGGACTATTTTTATTATCGGATATTGAAACAGTTGTCGCTGAAGCACAAGATGAAACCTATTGTAAAGAGCATGGTGGACAATTAACGTGTAATGATGGTACTTGTTATACAATCAGTGAAAAATGCGATGGAAAGTTTCAATGTCAAGATGGCGTTGATGAGAGAGATTGTAAGTTTATTTTTAGTAACTAGTTAAAGACTATCTAAAAATACATGCTTTCCACGGTTCTAAAATTCGATCATAACGTTAGTTGTTCAACTTAGGTACAGAAAAATCCGAAATTGCATTTACGCCTATAAACAAACGTTTATGGCCATATTGGGAACGATTTTTTACCTTAACATTTGCATGGGCAACGCAAAACAACTATCCTGACGGCCGTGCTCAATTGACTGTTGATGTTCCATCAGTCAGAGCAACGTGGGTTGTATCAGCATTATCAATAAGTCACAAAACAGGCTTATCCATCCTACCCTATTCAGTAATAGTAAGTACAATATAAAATTGGAAGACTTGAAAATTCGAAAGGTTTTTTTTAGTTTGAAGGCACGAGGCAATTTTTCATTACTGTTGAAATTCCACCATTCGTACGCCTAGGAGAACAAATTGGTGCACGAGTTGATGTATTTAACTATCAACCTTATCGAATTGAAGTATGTGTTACGACTAAATAATGACGTATTATTTACTAAAAATTCTTCTCTAGGCACTTATAATCCTTCATGCTTCGCCCAAGTATCGTTTTGTTAATATTGATGCAAACGGACTAGTATCATCATTTCAACCTCGTACATCTGAGGGTCATCATCATGTACTGCTGATCGTATGTTTTTATTAATAAACTCGTACAAGTTAGATTAATCAATGAAGGTTTCAATACTTTAGATTGATCCAAGTGATACACGACGCGTATACATACCATTTGTTCCCATTGTAGACGGTTCAGTCGAGGTTATCATTGAAGGAGTGACTGGTGCAAATCGTGATATTATTACTAAACAAATCGAAGTTTCTGTATGTGCACTCAAGTAACTAACATTTTTACCATCGATACTATTGTCGTTTCTTGTAGTATGAAGGAATAATCAATTATTATCATACCAGTACATTAGTGTTATTAGAAAATATACCGAGACAAATGATGGAACTCGATATAAATGTGACAGAAAATTATATATTTCCATTAGAAAATTATTTTCGATATGTACCTGGTTCTGCTAAAGCCGAAATTTTCATTTCTGGTAGAGAGAATGGAAAAGTTATTGACGCACAATACTATAGATGAAGTGTAATTATGATTTTAGGCGATGTTGCTGGACCATTCTTTTGGAAAGGCGTTGATGTCACTCATACGGCTGATAATTTTGTAACAAAAACTGTGGCACCAGCTGAGTCAGCCTTGCTTGGTTTCAATATGATGCTGTACAATTTAATTTACATGAGACAAGGGCATGGTGGACGTGCGTTTGATGATGAAAAATTAATACTATTTCTTAATCATGCGAATATTGGTAAGATCGTTTGTAATAATGTATTGGTTTTAATAAGATAAAAAAATGTTTTGCACTTCGCCAGGATAAAACTTGGCGGATTTACTACGTTTTGTTGTAAATGACATTCAAATTTTGATTATAGAGTATCAGCGTTTAATGGCATTTTATTTTGATGATGGATCGGATGAAGGAATTTACGATGGTGCTTTCAGCAATTTTGGATGGAAAAATGAAACGAGTGTGTGGTAAGTATGCTGAATTGTAAACGCGAATTACTTCATATTGCTAAATTTATTCTGTTAAGGATGACATCATGGGTATTGATTGGTTTAAAAGATGCCACTCAACCAGAATGGGAAGAACGAAATTTATTCATAGATCCAAAAGTTCGAGCAAAATCAGCTCAATGGCTCGCTTCAAAACAAAATCTTGATGGATCATGGCCAGAATTAAGCAATATTCTTGATCGTGAAAAATTTCAAGTATGATATCTTTAAGTAAAGTTAAGCGAAATTTTCATCAATCTGTACTAATATCTTGTTTAGCCTCGTTTATTTTCGACGAACGGTATTCCACTTAATATATCGTTGACAGCTCAGTCGGTAATTGCCTTAAAAATGAACATGGATATTAATGGTCTTCTGAAAGATGATATCGCAGATTCGGTGGAACGAGGACGTCTCTGGCTTGAAAAACATTTTCGTGTAGGTATCGTTATTATAATTGTTATTATACGTTGTCTTAAATATTCAAATACATATTTATTAGGCAATTACAGATGTGTTCGAATTGGCAATAACAACGTACGCTCTTCATGTAGTCAATAGTCCAGATAAAGATATAGCGTTCAATATACTAATAAAAAAACAGAGACAAAGTATATTGTATTATTGTTTTAATAATATGACATATTGAAAACATTGATTTTTCATTTTAGATACAAATGGTATGTATTGGTCAAATGTTGATATTCGTCCCAATGAGATAATGTATACAGCATTAACTGAACGTTTATCACCAAAATTTGAATCAGATATTGAAGCTTATGCTATTGCAGCAACATCGTTTGTTCTACTGACATATATTAGCCGAGCTGAAACAGCAAAAAGCAGTGATTTACTAAAATGGATTCAACACCATCGAAATTTTATTGGTGGTTGGTGTTCAACTTACGATACATTTTTTGCACAAAAAGCAATTGTCGATTATGCAATACGTCGCGGTGACTCTATTCAGCAGTATCAGGTATGCTGTGACAATAATTACTCTATTTTAACTCTAACTAACCATTTTTTCGTTTTCAGTTACGTTTTAACATATCAAGTTCTGACGATAGTGAAAACATGATGGAACCTATTTTAATAACAGATACAAATTTAATTAACACACAACAACGAAGTATTCAAAATGTGTACGGTCGGGCATTTATTGACGCCTATGGAACGGGTTATTCACTTGTACAAGTATGAGATATAGATAAGTTCTTTTAACTAATCCATGAATTGCTTTATGATGCTATAGATGGTTGTTCAAAATAATGTGGAATTTCCATGGTTGATTCGTTCTGAACCAGCGAACAGATTTAATCTGACATTAGATATTAAAATGTCGGGTTACAATAACTCGATATTATTGTATCAAGTGTGTATAACGTAAGTGATTGTAAAAGGTTTTCTTTCATGTCAACACATTTTATTCAAAATCTTTCAGTTGGTTACCCGGTTTATTCAAGTCACATCGAAGTGGTTGGTCTATCTATACAATTGATATACCCACGGGATATCGAATTGAAGAACGTTATCTCAAAGATCTTGTAGGATTTGGTATTGTTAGAAATTTACGTGATGCCGAAAATTATCCAAATTCTTTAAATTTTTTATTTGAATTTGTACGCAACGCAATAATTTCTCTTTTTATTTATTAATTTTTAATTTGTGTATTTTTTGCAGTTTGATCTTACACCAATTTGTTGGGAATTTGAATTGAAACGCTGGATACCAGTGGCAAATATGACACGTTACTACCACATGAAAGTGTATGAATGGCATGAACCATGTGAGTCTGATGAATAATTAACTGAAAGAAAAGTATTTCATAATTATTTTGCAGGGAGTATGAATCGTTCAATGTATACACTTCGTACATTGTTTTCATTGGATATTTGTGAAGTTTGTGGCTCTTATCAATGTCCCTATTGTCCATATTATGCACATGCATCAACAATGAATTTTGTATTAATTTTTAACTTATTTTGGATTTTTTCCTTTTTTCTCGCAATATAATTGCTCATGTTGTCTGTTGTCAGAGTGCTGTAGTATTGTTTATTGTTATTACGTCTGTTTTTAAATGTTTTTCATAGCGTTTGTTATACAAAAAATAACAGTGAATTTTTTACTCCCAGAGACCCACTCATAGCTATAGGTAAGTAAACTTCATGGCTGTTCTGTGTATCAATTATGATATTTCTTAACCTCCATGCTTTCAAAACTAAGAAAAAATTGAGGAGATTTTTAATATTATAATAGAGCTGGAACGGCAATGACAAAAAATATTTCGATGATAACTATGAGAAGAAACCAAAGTCTGTATTTAGGCCGCATAGTTAGTTAAGGTCGTGCGATAAAAATTTCGAGACGATATAGTCTTCAACTGTAACGAAAGATAGATATGCTATGATATGTAAACATTTTTGAAGGCTGCTTCTATCATCGTATATGATAAAACGTACTCCCTTTTATTAGCAGAACATGGTGATGATAAAATTTTGTTTTGTGTGAATTTGTATGAATATTGTTAACTATAGTAGATCTAGATGAAATGTAAATTCTATGAAAACACATAGTACAATACTGATCAATTAATAACGATATAGTACAATGTCTATCTATCATCCTCAAAAATAGATGAATTTCGAGTCAACTATAGCTCTTATTTTTCGAATACAATCCATTATTTACCTAATATAGAGAGACATCATTGTATTGAACTTAGAAAGCCTCACAAGTGTTATCGCCGTTGTTGTATAGATCATAGTCTATTATAGAAAATAAAAGATCTATATTCATTACACTTATCGTATATATTCATTTAGGATATGGCATGCTTTTCTTTCTTGTTGTTGTTATTGTGAAGAGTGCTTTTATACTTCTAATTTTACATTCGATTTAAGTTTTGCATTTCAAACTATAGATACATTCTTAACAATTTATTGTTTTTATTTCTCTTTATTATTGTTCACACACCTATGCATAATACCTATATTAAGATCAAATAACGATCGTCTAAAGTAGTATAAATTTCATATTCATGTATATATAAAGTCAAATTTCCAAATATATTAGTCACTTTCTCATGAACATTTAGAGAAGAGAACATTGATCGTTTTGTTTCTTTAGCTGACTCTGACTGCGTAATGTCGAAGCGTATATGATGAAAACTAAAAAAAGAAAAATGACCTCATCATTTGTGCTGTATCTTGAGTTATCATTTGATATCAGTTGTTCATGTATTTATTGGAAAAATTCATATGATAGAGATAGTAAAATCATGCTTTTGTCAAGTGTTTGCTTCGTATACTGTATTATGCAATAAACAACACAATTTATGTGACCATTTGGTCGAGTTAATTAGTTTTTTTTATGTCTATTGTGCAATCATAACTAATTGTTCTCTTATTGGGAATTGTTACATATCCATCTGTATTCGTATTGCTTTAGGAGGAGAAAAAAAATGAAAATATTTTGTGATAAATAGTTTCATAATAAACCTCACAAAGACAATAAAATTGAAGAAGTGATTGACAGATCACTCTCCACATAGAATTGGTTAATTATTATAAAATAATAACAACAACAACTGCTGAACAAAGTCCTGTTTAGTAATAAACACGTTAATCTCATTAGTGATATACTGTGTGACTGACCTTCTGTAGTCAAACTATATTACTAATAGTGATGTTACTTAGCTCGTGAGTTCGTACGTAACTAAAATTGTACAAGTGAATATTGAAGTAATTTTATCAAAGACATTGGCAGATTATCAGTGAAAATGATCGAACGAGTAAGAATTTGTCGCTTGTAAATTATTTTTTTCCTTCTTATTGTCAAGTATGGGTATATTCCACATGTTTCTAATGTTTTCAATTTACATAATTACACTGAAATTGGGAACAATTAGTCTCTATTTGTACAAGAAAACATATTTAGTCAATTTCCGGCTATTTAAATGTGTACTAGTTAAAAGAACAAAGTATATAAAGCAGATACGCCGCCAAATTTAGCTTAAGTGTATATGAAATGTTTCTCTCTTCAATTTCTCTGATGTTATCGAGAAGGATGGCTACATGTATATATTTTATTTTTCCATAATTAGATTAATAAAATCATTTACGCTCTAATGTTGAAAATAAAATGACATTTTCATAAATACTTGAGATTTTTATGAAGGTCAACTGCAACATGATGATACTGAACAATGGGATGGTCTAGATTATGTTTATTGATGAAGGTCAGTGAGACAATATATTTCTTTTTTAAAAGTCAATGAGTTATCATACAACAATAAATGTAGACAAGACAAAATTAAATCAGTTTATCTATAGACAATTAAACCATTGGACTATTGCCTGCCCATAAAAACTGTTTATAAAACAAAAAATTTAGAAAGTAGTCTTATTTCTCAGTAGATTCTAGTACAATCATCATTAATGGTGGATTTTTTTGTCATGGATGTTGATGGACTCAATTTTACTTTCCTTGTTGTTCAATTTCCTTGAGACATGACCAAAAAAGTTAAAAAGCTTTCTTTGCGTCATATGTGTATATCAATCATCACTTTGCATTTGTTCTTAATGTGGTTAATTACATTCACTTCTTCAGTTTGAAGTCTTTTTTACACATACACACAAGACCTGTGTGCCATTTTCTTTCATTTCCGATTAAAAGAGGATTAAAACTTTGAATGTTCAGTCTCAGAATAAAAATGTAGACTGAAAAAAATGTTGAACAGCTTAACAAATTTAAAATATGAACAGAATTCTTTTCTTTTAAATAAAAAGCTATATACGTAATAGGTATTAGATGACATAATTAGTAGAAAATGATTGAAATTTGAAAGAAGCAAAAAAAGTATCATCCGGTATAGTCAACTGTGTGTTAAATTGTCTGTGGGTTGGTATAGATACATTTTACTGTATCAAAACAAAGAAAAGAATGCAGCTGTTTTTTAATAAAAAATGTAGTAGATCTAAGTACAATTGATAGGAGACATTATCTTATTAGTCTCATTTTGTCAGAAATATGAATTATCAACGAATTGTTCTTTCACACCTTTTCTTCTCATCAGTTAAAGCAGAAAATTATTAGATTTTAGAAATTGAAGCGTCTTTTTATTGAAATTTTTTCTGCACTTGTTACATAACATCCTTACTAGAATATGAAAGAAGAAATATTATCTTGTTTTTTATCAATTATTACTGTAGTAATAGCAGAATAGTTGCCCTTGAGCAATTTGAACTGTATAATATTGCCGTAGTTCTCTATATAATGAACAAAAATGTATCACCTGCTATGATAACCGAAGAAGAGAGGAAAAATATATATCAACATGTTTGTGCGTGTGCGGAGACACATTTTGTTTAAGATAATATGACAAGAGAGTTGTCAATGAGGTCATATACAAGAGATAATGAATAATTTTGACTGAACATACATGGTAAGACTCGAAAAAGCCGATTAATACTAACATAATCTAGATTAGACACCATTGATATCACACAGCTGATGTTTTCTTCATCATAATTAACCTGTTGGGTTCTTTCTCGTTATCAAAATGTAAAATCTGATATACACTATTCTTTTGACTAATTGAAATAGCTTTACAAACATAAAATATTTGTAGTAGTTAGAATTTTCTAATTAGAAGTATACAGTTATATATCTGTAGGCGGGCAAACTATGAATTTTCATAGTTTTGATTAGATTCTGTATATAGGGCGCTGCGGAAGAGGGTCTCTTGAGATAGAAATTTTTCACTCTTTTATAAAACGAATGCTTTTTGTACCAATATCTATTACTGAATACTTTCACACTCTAACTAGAAAAAACGTTTGGTGCAGTAAAATAAAGTGTCACTATAAGATGAAAAGCAAATGAAAAGAAGGCCACTCATAAAACTAAAAGTTAATTTATTAAAAATTTCGTTCACTCAGCGATTTCAACTATTTTCGATAAACGAAGTATTTCCATAGAAAATATAATTTTTCGATACTCGGATTTGATAGAACAGTACGCTAGATTTCTCTTTTTTTTTAATAATCTCATAGTGAAGAATGAGTATTAAAATAATGAACGCTGATACTTGTTGACATTTCATATTAATTGTATTTACATACCCATAGTAGTGATATGAACACGCAAATAGTACACATTAATGATGCTGCGTTTTTTCGGGAAATTCTCAGGACGTGCTCATCAGCTGAATCATTAATTCTAACCTGATACATAGACCTCTCTTTTCCGTTTTTATTCATCAGCCTAATAGATAATTCATTTGACCTGATGGTGTCTGAGATCATACTATACTATATCTGTTATATGCATGATTAATTAGTAGTGGTAGACATCAAACTCTATTTGAAATGTTAGCTACTTTTTCTTTTTTCAAAAGAAACTTTCTTTCTTCTCCTTTTTATATGGCGATTATTATCAGTTATCTTTTCTGCTATAACACATAGACATACATACACACACACACACACTCTTCGTCATGTTCAACTTTTCCTCTCTTTTAATTCAGGTCAATAGTTCTCATAGTAGATACTACTTTTTAAATTATGATTACTATTCCTTTTGCGCGACATTATATGTGTGTGTGTGCGTGTCATTGTATTTTTTTCAATACTAATCGACACTGCATAATAGAAATATATTGCGCAACCTAATTTTAAGTAGTAGAGAGAAAAAAATTCACGTTCTATTCAAAATGTCTTGACAATTAAAGTAGTTAATAAGACCATACTCCATAGTTATGGTCGAAGGAAAAACTGACCAACCATGGAGGCGGTTCCGTTACTTAGAGAAAGAACAAAAGAAAAACAGATCAATTGTGTACAAAAGAGAGAAAGAGAATTAAAGAGAAGTGAGAAAGATTATATATATATCTGCGCGATAACTGTTCTCCTTGTTGTCAATTTATCCATCGAGAATCAAACATCAGACGGGAGTAGTCACTTTTGCCACAATAGACTTACTAACTAACAATATACTCATTTAACTCGCTAAAAAACAATTAATTTCATGTATATGATATGAATGAATAAGCTTAGAAGAGGCTATGAGTTATTACAAATACATACACATACGGCAAACAGAAGGACAAAGAGAAAACGAAGTATACTCTATGCATGATGTTTATCGGATTCAAATGATTATGTTCAGATGGCGTACAGAATACATCGGAATTCTACTTAAAAAGAAAGTCTAGTTTCAACTGCTATCAGCATCAAAGTTAGTGATCAAAATAGAGATGCAATATTTCTGTATATGGTTGTTACATCAAACTAGATTCAATCAATAGTCTCTAAAAATAATGTTACGTTGTTTTATTATTTTCTTAATTCTTTTTAACTAGAGGTTGAAATTTGTATGTTTCGCGTGTGTCAATCTAATTTATTAAGTACAATATTTATTATTGATCATAATTTATGGATTGATAGTATTGTAATTATAGATTGTGTTATATAGTCACATAAAAAAAAAATTAAAAGTTTAAGTGTGAAAAAATTTGTCGTGATCAAAAATTCAAATTAAAACCAGAAATAAATCATGTTTTGATGACAACTAATTTTATCACCAAAAACAAAACTCTTTCGAATCTGATTAAATTCCAGACAGAAATGATTTTCAATTTGGTTTTTGTTTGGGGAACATAGAAGAAAAACATCAAAATTGTTAATTAAAAAAGATGGGTGATATGTTCTTCCTTCAGTTTAGTCATATACTAATACTAGACTCTATAGTGTGATCAGTTCACCCTTTTTTTATTAGTAATTACTTCGGGATAACTGCTCACTGATATAAAAATGTCATAATAATAGAGTTTTTATGTAAATATGCAAAAAAAAAAAAAAATTAAAAAAATCTCAGCATGTTTGATAATTGATAAAAAGAGGAATGTATAATATTTTATAATGGTTGATGTTGCCGAAATAATCGTCAAGTTTATTTTGATGCCTCAAGATATAATAAAAATAAGAATGATGATGATTATCTACTATCGATATCGCTCGAGAAGTGACTATATGAATGATCTATGTATATTGAACTTGTGTTCTACACAGGAAATAGATCGTTGACTTTGAAAAAGTGGTGATGGTGATGATGAGAGAGTAAGAGAGAGAGAGAGAGAAGAGAAGAAAAAAATCACGATCGTTCTCATTGAATGATGTGTTATTATTTAATATATCTGCTAAGAGGAGAAGGCCTTCTTCAAATATCTAGCCCAAAGGGTTTTCTCTGATATAACAGACTTTTACTTTTTATTCATCATGTATATATACAACAATTAGATATAAACATGTATATATAATAGAAGTTTGATCTTCCATTTATTTCCGGTTTAATTTAAATAGTGTTTTTCTCTGATCCTATTTTACATCATTTCCACATAATTTTTTATTGTCAGTCAATCTAAATTAAGTGAAATTTGAATTATCAAACAAAATAAATAAAATAAACAAATCATAAAGGTACACTTTTATATCAGGAAGTAGACGAATAGTAGCAGACATATTCTTTCCTAATTTTCATGAATGTTTATTAAAAGAAGTGTATGTTGTTTTTTTTTCACTCAAAATTGACCTATCATCCAACAATATTATGAAATATTTGAAAATATAAGCACGTATTCGGATGAATGGCTATCTTTAAAAATCCTTGTATTATTTTTTTTTCTTCATCTTCAAACAGAGTTTGACTTGAACCGCTATGGGACCAGATTTATTCTTACTATACTGTCCCCAGCTTGGATGGTATTAAATATAATCTTATTTCAGAATCTCAGCGTATATATTTTCTCACTTCATTAACATATTCCATCGGCGATAAGAAGAAAAGAAAAGAAATTTTTGTGTTTAATTTTCACAGCTTTAGTAAAAAAAAAGTGTTACATAACTGAGAGACCGAATAGTGTGTTAAAATATTTTTAACGGCTGTCAGTTGAACAACACACAATTTCTTTTTTAATGCCAGAACAGAAGATGATGACAAAATTAGTTTGTTTTGCTTAAATGAAGTTGAAATTGATGAGAGAGAAAGAGAGAAAAAGAGAGTAAAATGGATTTAGCTATAATAAATTGTTTCTCACGGTTCAGTAGAAATTTCCTTCTGGGCGTTATTTTTCTCTTTGAAAAACGATTTTTCCATCGTATAATAAACAAAACATTGCTGAGGAAGTTTTTTGGTCAGCTGGATGAAAATAAGATTAAGATCAGACAGGTATTTAGTTAATTAGAAAATGGCAAATCAATAGACGTGTATCACCTGCTGATAACCTTATTATTTTTGTCAATTTAACAACTATGTACTTTAACTTTCTCTGTACTTGATACATTCGTTGATGAGCTCATTATAGGAATATCAAGGTCAGTCGTTGTGTATCGAAGTTAATATTCTCACTACATCATATCAAATGGTAAATATTCCCATATTCAAGAGTTGTCATTTATTCATACCACCAAAGTGGTCATTGTTTTGTCTACAAATGAAACCAAAGCCGTTTCTCCTCCTCTCATAGTCTTGTTCGCCAGCTGTTTTATAATCCTTGGACATATATATATTGGTGGTGAGCAATTAAATGATTAACAAAAATAAATGAGTATGACTAAAGAATGAGTAGAGGAAAAAAGCACTTATATATCAAAAAAATACAATAAATTGTTCGATTCAATCATTGTCAATAATACAATCTTTATCCTATACAAAGAGAAGAGAGAGAGAGAGAGAAAAAGATTTCGTGATGCGAACTGAAAACGAGGGCATGGAACCAAGAATTAAAAGAGCCTACAGTTTTAGCTAATGATTGGACTTTTACAGAACAATGTTATCTTTATTACTACTTCTTTATATTTTGATCTACGGGAGAAAATGGGTGATTTAACACTTCTTTTTTAAATGAATTTAGAGTTCTTTACAAGTTGTGATTAATCACACAGTTATGAGAAACATTGAATTGACAAAAAACTCCACTTTACATGCTATAAATAATAGAATAATGAAATTTTATTTGACATTCGGTAAAATTTTATTATACTCGCTATTTCCTAGAGATTCTTTTTACAGCTAATTTTACAGTAGTCTCTTTACAACGTTTTACTTTAGCTAACTTTTATTTTTAATGTCATTTAGAAGGAAAATATTTTTGATATTTTGTTAAAATAATTAATTTTTTTGTTGTTGTTGTTTAAAAACTGTTAAATTCCCAATCAAATCAGATTTTAATCATACAAACTGATTTTCTTTTGAATTCTATGTTTCTCTGCAATATCTAAGTCAACAAGCCACACATACTCACACATACACATTAATTATTACCATTAAAATGAGAATTAGTTAAATAAATCAAATATGTGGAAAAGTCGATTCTCGTTCTTTCTCATTTCAACGAATGTATCAATATTGACAACCAACGAGAGAATAAGCAGACTCGAGAACAAATTTTTCAACAGCAATGATGATGTTTAATTATCTATCCTTCTATGTAGATAGACGAAGCCTTATGATAATCTTTTTTTTCTTATTCTCTCTCGTTCTCTCTCTCTTTCTTGCTCCCTCTGTTTCTCTCTCATAGACGAAAAAGAGAAGAAAGAAAAAAAGAATTGGGCTATATTGTTCAATTGCATTCTGTTATAGAAAGCGTCGAACCATACATTTAATTTTAAGATGTTGAACTTTTAATCATGTACAACAACAACGTCGTTATATTATTATTTTTAATAATATTTCATTATTGTTATTCTATACCAACATTAGATATTCGTTATCCACAATTTTTTCATATTGTTAATAATACGGTAGAAATTCTTGAAGGTAAAACACCCGGTAGTTTTATTGCATTTATTAATCTATTAAATGACACAACAACAAACAATAACAATGATTGGACATTAACTGTTAGTAATAATGATTTTACTGTTCAACCATCGGCAGCTTTAGCAGGACGTTCATGGACATTGATAACAACAAATACACTCGATCGTGAACGTACATCATTTTATCAATTTCAAATTGAAGCAAAACATCTTGTTAAACCATTTCATACACTTTATCAAAAAGTCAACATAAAAATATTAGATGTCAATGATAATTTACCAATATTTAATCATTCTCTTTATTTATCTAACATAAAACCAACTATTGAATATGATGAATTGATAATACAAGTGAGTGCATATGATTTAGATGAGGGAAAAAATGGTGAAATTATTTATAGTCTTATTAATTATAATGATTTATTTCGAATTAATTCAAAAGATGGACGAATATTTTATATTGGTAAAAATAAATTAAAATCTGATACACGTTATGATGTTATTATACAAGCACAAGATATGGGTGAACCACCATTATCCAGTACAACATTATTGAAAGTTAATATAACATCATCATCATCACCATCATCATCATCAACATCTCTGTCCAATTCATGGCTTATACTTACCGGTAACGGAAATGGTGAACAAAATCCAAAAAGTATTTTAATTATTGCTGGTTTACTAGCACTTGTATTTGTTTTCTGTTCGATAATTATCTGTTCCGTTTGTCGATATCGTTTAAAACGACGAAAAAAATTATTAAACAATAACAATGGTAATATAAATAATACAAATGATAGTAGTGGACGACGATTAAAATCGACATCATCTTCGGCATCATCATCGTCATCATCCGGTTCAATCACCGATAATGATTTACAACAAAGAATAAATGTTGCCAATGGTGAATATTGTCATACAGATGATGATCATTTTGAACGAGCGGTAAGACAATGTTTGATCTTTATTCTTTTATGCGACATCTTGCTGGTGAATACATAGAACAACAGAAAAATCATTAAATTCTCATTTGCATTGACAGACTGATACATAGTGGGACAAAGAAAACATAAGACATCAGTTGATTTCGTTCAAAATATCTATAGTTGATAAGAATAATCAGTTAAGGCTAAACTTACTTAAGATAATTTTTTATTACATAAGTGAACTATGACAGTTAGAAAGAAGTGTGGTGGAACTATTGTACTTCTAAAAGTTGTGGATATAAGAAAATCTATTGAATTACTATTTGATGAAAAAAATCTTATTCTAATTTTTAGGTTCTATATGATCCAATTGCATCGTATCCCAACTCATATATTCTTCTAAAACAGAATGATAGTCAAACTCCATCATCATCTTTAACATGGTATGGTTATGAAAATAATAATACAAATAATAACAATAACAATAATAGTAATATTCTGAATGATCATCATGATAAAGTGCAATATACTAACTCTCCAAATAATCAATTACATTGTGATGATAATCGAATAAAATTACAAACATTATCAACTGATAATAATACAAATCGTCAAGGATCGTCATCTACCTCATCACCAGTACGTTCGGATGATGGATGTTATTGTTCGTCGGATATGTCTTCGGAGCAATCGAATCATTCAGCATTTGCTCTACAACTTGACTCATCACAAGGATTTTTATTAAATCCATCTTCATTGTCTTCTACTGATCCACAACAATCACAAACAGTAAGTATTATTCATAATGAAAATTGTCGACTTAAAACATCGAAACACGTCAGATTTAAAGCAGATAATACAGTAATGATGATTAATACATCAGTGTTATCGGGTACAACTTCAGTTGATTCTACGACGGCCATGAAACGTTTTGAAAATATTTATGGTGGTAATAATACTACAAATACTACATCGCATACAATTGAACCACATGCATCCTACGTTTAGTTTATCTCTCTTTTTTGTTGTTTTTAACAGTGAAAATAAGCAATGTTTTTGTACATTTTATACACGTAAATATATTTCTGTAGTATAAGAAGAATAGTCATTAATTGATACTTTCTGTAATTAAATCTTATATTGAGAAAATAGAACAAATTAGTATTTCAGTCTAGCAATAGTTTTTTTAATTTTAGTATGGTTGAGATACGATAGTTGTATCGAAGTTGTCTATACATGTTTATGAAATTTTTTAGAATTTTCCTATAATCAAGAGAAAAATGTTTAATATTTTATTTTCATATAAGTTAACAATCTTTTTTAAAAAAAATAAGATTGTGATCATGATGACTATGTTGGCGACATAACTGTACTTTAGACAACTCAGACATGTCAATATATTTTTATAGGAAAATCAATTGGTTTATATGCATATAAGAAAGGTCAATGTGTATGTGTTCATACGGCGAATAATAACAATACAATACAATCCGATTAGAGTACAATAATCCTTCTACCGTTATTTTAAAGTATATAGTCCAGACATAGAGAACACATCACATCGTATAGTCTAAATTCAATTTTTCTTCTTCTCAGCATGCCTCTTTGTTGTTGTGTATTCTATTCATTAGTATAAATCAAATTAGTTAAAACAATGGTTTATCGAGCTAATAATTTAATACTATTAGCCGGTCATGACTAGTATTAATTGAGTATAAGTCTTCTTGCAAAGACAACATATAATGTATACAAATAAAAAGCATCTGGTGGATAAATATTTGTTTCGTTGAATAAGCATTTTTGTAACCTATGAGTGTGGTACAAATACAAATGTCAAACTACTTTTTTTTTACATATTATTAATAATTGTCATCAAATTTAAATTTGCTCTTTAATATATCAGGTTATTATGATAGAAAATAACCGATCAAAAATGCCTTGACTATTGTCATAATATATTTTGTTGTGACAGTGAAGTTATACAAAATATTCTTTCGTGACTAAGGCTATTACGAATATACTCTTGTTTGATCTTCTTCTCCTGATGGGAAGAAGAAGAGGTTTGATCAACCGTGTTGTGATGATCAAAGTGAATGATATTAACTGAAATCAATATTGACTCAATCTATTTTTAAACAAGGTGTATGATCAAAAGAAAGAAAAAACCTCTAAAAATTCAACATGTGACAAAAAGACGCCTTAGAGCGAGACATAAACAAGATATTGATTAGCATTGTATTCTGTATTGTTTCCATTAAAATCTTGTTTCATTCACTAGTACAACACTTCTAATATAGAAGAAAAAACAAAAGCGTGCTTAAGTTGATGACTGCTACATTGAACAAGGAAAAAAGATAACATCATCACGTATAGTCGTCTAAAGAGAAGAATAACATTAATTTAAGTACACTAATAACAAAATATACACTTCATTCTATGTAAATTGTTATATGCCTTTTCATAAAGAAAATATTTGGTCAACTGGAACTGAAAGTATAGACACCAGAATCTCAAAGGAAAAATAGGAGAAGATTATACCGAGAAAAGATGATACTAATAAATAGAAGAGTTCTAAAAAAGACGAACGATTTTTATTCGTTAACAGAAAAAAGAAAACATTTTGTTTTTCAACGAGTTTTTTTCAGCCATCTGTACACTCAAAATTATTCTTAGGAAAGAAATCACAATCCTCCATGGAGTATTAAGCTACTCTGGGTATACAGTTTACTTACGCTAATTAAACCTTTTTTTTAGTCAGCTCTCATACTTAGAATATAATTCATGTTCTAGTGCCTCGCCAGAGTGACAAGAAGGGAAGTATTAACATCAAAAATGCTTTGCTCAATTGATTTATAAGTGAGCCATACTTAGTACTACCTACATAAAAATTCACGAAAAATAGAATGAAAAGAATGTTTTTATCGAGGTTAGTTTTGTTAGTTAGTAAGGCTGCAATTATATGACCGATTAAGTTCCGAGCCATATCAAATCTCAATCGAGCAAAAAAGAAATCAGTAAGGGAGAAGAAGTCAATAGGAGAGTGCAGGTGATACATCCAGGAGCATCAGGAAAAATAAAAATAAACAATTGTAAGAGACAAGGAAATAACAATGCCAGTAGCAAGAGCACTTCTTCCACTCAGTAGATGAGTTGTATGAGATGACTCTAATTATGGTGATATGCAGTCATAATTAGAATCTTACTTAGAGACTGGTTAGAGAAATGAGTCACTTGGCCACTGCGGAGACGAGCAATGGAATCAAGATGGCAGCTTTTTTGTCCGTCCTCTATGAGTTATGAAAACTAGCAGTCTTGCTATAAATGTCATCGGGAAAAGTCTTTATCATCCTAGAAAATATGCAAGATTCAAAGAGTGGATGGATTGAATTACGTTATAAACAAATGTTGGAAGTAAGTTAGCGAAATTAATACAAGTTTTGCTATGTTCATCCTGACGATTTATTTCTACTATTTCGTCTTCATCACACTATCTGAATGAACCATTCGACAAATGTGCAGACATACTCCTTGAGCCACAACACAAATTACTTAAACTTTTTTAAACGAAAACTGTCAGTCTAACAGATTTACTCAATACGTGTGCATAGTTTTCCTGCTGTTTAGCCGTCAAAGTCAATACTGGCACTGGTTGGCCAAAGCTCCACCCTGAACTCACGTTGACACTGACGCTTAATGAAAGAAAACTTTAATGAAATCTTACCTTAGCGCTACGAGGAATGGTCTAATTACATATACTCTTTTCAACGCATGCTCCCTATACAATGCCATTTTTTAAAATACCGCCAGTAACCGCGGTGTTCGAAAACATCGCGGTCTTGTAAAAATACCGCACGATAACCGTTTCTTTTCAGTCACCGTTATTTTGCAGCCGTAGTAGCTATATGAATAAGAAACAAAGAAATTTCGAAAAACTTTCTATTTTCTAATTTCAGATTATCTTTTTCTCTCTTTTTCTTATAGATTCACGACTTGTAGAAGTGTGAACTTTAACTTGAGTAAATTTTTGTTCCAGAGAGTCTTCTTGCGCTTTGATCGCTAAATAAATGACTAAAAAGAAAAGAAAACATGAAAACAGTTTCGAACTCACGTCCTACGAATCATAATGAGAAAAATAACCGCTGTTTAAAGAAAATACTGCACGGTAACCGTGGTTATTTTTGCGTTTACATAGCGGTAACCGATAGTATTTTGCCGGTATGAGCACATGGGTCTCAACATCAAATTCTTATACAGGCATTTTCATTCAGTTCTCGATTTTATATAAACAAAAGATTTGGCTATCATATAGAGCATAAAACATTAGCTCAAAATCTAGCAGCTCATTTCTAAAAAGATTGTTCGAAATTATAGTTCTTTCCAAACGTTAGAAATTTTTAAAGTCATTACATATCTTTCCTTCAAAACAGTTATCATCAATGAAATTCTGATAAGAATCTTATGTAATTCTTACTTGATTCTTATCTAAGAAGTGGCATGAAAGTGGAAGGAATTTCATAAGAATCGAGTAAAGATCTTGTAAGAACTTCATAAGAAGGTGATAAGAGTCCTCATTAATTTCTTATTGACTTTTTATACAATTCTAATTCAAATCACATCACATTCTTACGAAGGTTTTGCAAGAATTATTCTTTTTCCATTCCCTCCTCGCACAAAATGGACCGTAGTACTTAAATATGTTACATATGTTATTTACTAAAACGTTTCAGAAGCATAGCACGTGGCTTGCGTTGAAAAACAAGCTATTTGCGTGGGATGATTAACATATTTCGAAACCCTATGGAACTGCATTTCCACTGATAAAGGTTGGAAAAGATGTTGTGGCAGAATATAAAGATGATTAATTAAAGATGATAATGATGTTTATATATAGATGTGTTCACCGTGGCTCAATAGAAGAAGCCATAGATTATTGTCATGCACAACTCACCTCATGTTCCAAAAAAAATTTCCGTATAAGAATTTAATATAAGAAATCAATAGGAAATTAATAAGGACTCTTAACACTTTGTTATGAAATTCTTACAAGATTCTTACTCGTTTCTTATCTGATCCTTATGAAATTCCTTCCACTTGTATAAGAATCAGATAAGATTCTAAACAAAAGGAGGTAAGACGCTGACATGATTCCTGCCAGATTCTTATATAAGGTTCGATGACTAGAGTAGTTTTGATTTCCTATTAAACTTATTAAACCTAATTTATACATGTCACAGTAACTATAAATTAACTTATCTGTTGCATCTTGGCGATGATTTGGCATTAGCGTGAAGATGCAGCAGATTTAGTAACGTCTGTAGACGCTAGACATATATTTTTCAAACTGAATCCCAAAAAAGACAGCGAGACTAACGTTTGCTAAAAAAGAAAATTATGACAATCCGGAAGAACTTGATGAATTTTATTAAGTTTGAAAAAAAGCAGAAAAATCTTCAGTGTAGTTTCTGAGATATCGAAATGAGAAATTTTTTAGTTTTCTAAGTAAACTTGGTCATTGTTTGAAAATGACATAGCTTTCGATGTATACATCGAACGCTATGCACTGTTCAAAAAAGTGCCTTGATAAACCACTCGGCTGGCTTCAAAATGCGTCTACAGTGCATTTTGAAGGCACATTAGGTGCATTTTCTTATCTTTTTAGTGTTAGTGGCTTTAATGTCCAAAACAACACCTCTAAATCGTTCCTTTTTTTGAAAAAATTAGTTTCGGTGCATTTAATAGATATCACTAATACATCAGAAAGGCACAATGTACTAACCGGACTCTCAACCACCCATAAGCCACAGTTAAATCACTTAATCACATTAAAGGCAATGAAAATGCGTCGAGACCCTTTGCTAGACATTGAGTCATCCTGGTGCCTAGTCAAGACATCTCTACCAAAAGAAATAGAGAGAAAAAGTAGTCTATCGGCATTGTTTCTTCTGCCATTATAGTAACTATCATACTCTTGAACAGAGGATAATGGTAGTTTTAAGTCAAAAGAATAAACCAAATTTGTTTGCTAATGCTCGTCCGTTTCGATCGGTCTCCTGACGTAGGTAACTTATATTGGCATAAAGACCGATCTGATGTAAAAAGCTCCTAATCTAGCATAAATCCAAAACTATTTTTGGAAATCATGGGTTCTTGGGGATCTAAAACTATTCTTATCAGTTCTCCATGATAGATTATGTATATTCTGTAAATTTCATTTGGGGCGCCCCGATACCTCAGAGGCAGGAGGGCGAAGTCAATTTCGGAGTAAATTTTTATGCTTTTAAAAATTGGAGTAAAACTAAAAAAAACGATAAATATTCATTCTAAGCAGTTTTCTTCTAAAGCAAGACTGAATTTCCTCCTTCCTAACTCTATTAACACAAAGCCTTATAATATAAAAACACCTTATAAACACCTTATGATATAAAAATACATTTACTGAACCCATGATACAGTCTATTCTACTTATCTTATCTTATTTATGTACAAGACAGAAATTTTATTTTCTATCAACACAGAAAGAGAAAAAACAAATGCTTTGCTCTAAAAATGGAAGTCTATGTCTTACTCCAAATAAAGTAAATATCTTACTTTTGAAAAGAGAGTAAAATTCTTAATTACGAAACTGAGAGTAATTCTTTTACTTCGAAAATGGGAATAAATATCTTACTCCAAAATTGAGAGTAACCGTCTTACTCTGAAAATGGGAATAAGCGCTTTACTTCGAAACTGAGAGTAAGCCTTTTATACTCTAAAAATGAGAATAATTGTCTTACTCTGCGAATACGAGTAAACGCTTTACTCTGTGAGATATTCTCATAAGTCAAAGACCTAATTTTCGGTAAGAAAATCCTGATTTCGGAGTAAACCTTTTTATAATAACAGGGGGATCCCTCCCCTATCAGGGTGCCCCTGAGTTCCATTATTTACAGATAATTTCGTTTAAACGTTAATCGACGCAGTTCATCATGCTCTACTTATGCTGTGAAAACGAAGTTTTTTGGATGTTTTATATGTTATTTTTAATCTATTGTTGCTTGTTTAACTATGTTAAATGTTGCATGAAAATCAAATACATAAATTAACCCTTTCAGTCCGAAATTATTTTTCTGGATTAAATTCAATTAACCATTCAGATTAGCTTATTTTACACACAGAAACACATGAAAAATATATTGTCCACGTGCATGTGATTTATTTAATGTAAGTTTGATTGAATTTCGTTGTGCTTGAATAGAAACTTTAGTTGACAAGTTTATTAACTGTAAACCTTGCACAAATGTTTCATGGAATGACAAAAAGCAATTTTTATTTCGTTTCACACAAAGAGAAACACCACAAAAATTGCATTTTATGCTGCTAAATACTGGACTAGCTCTTGTGCTGCAGTATCGACATCTTCCTCTAGACCCAGCCACAGGCATACGTGCTTGTAATTTACTTGATAGATATTTGTTCTCCAATGTTTGCTGAATTTGGTTTCGCTTCTGATGGAAAAGTGAATAGGTCTACCCTTTCTTTTCGGTGCATTTTGATCACCAATTAGTGATGTTGAAATAGACGAGAGGAATCTATGTAAGTTATCTTCTGTTGACTCAAATCATTGTAACAGACGAACGCATTCGAAAGACTTGCTTGAAGAAAGTAAGTAAATATACGGATCCAGTTTCGCCTGGATTTTCTGTCAACTGAATAGCAAGAGATTCGTTGATCAAACAAATCAACATCACCTCTGTACTTGTTATATTGAAATATCACTTCAGGACAAATAGCAACTTGTTTCAAATCATCTTTTTCTTTTCTAGTAGCCGTTTTCGTTTTTCCCGGATCAAAAAAATTACTTGAAATAAACACCGGTTTCTTGTCTTGCCGCTTGACGACTGATATCTGGTTAGAACAATACTCATATTCACCTCATTTTAGTTTGTCTTTTTGTAAGAGTTCGTTTGGAAATAACTTTCGATCAGTTCTGATTATGCCAGTTGCTCCGATTTTCTTCTTTTTTAGTTGCAATAGTAGGGTAATCGATGTAAAATAGTTGTCAAAAAATAGTTGGTGTTCTACTAGATTAATTTTGCTAATAAGCTGCAGTACAACATCCTCACCTAATGTTCCTTGTCTATTCTCTTGTTTGCCAGAGTATATGTCGAAATTATAAAGATATCCGGTTGAAGAATCGGCCAAACACCACACTTTGTATCCTCGTTTGATGGGCTTCGAAGGCATATACTGTTTCAACGAACTTCTTCCTTTGAATTTGATCATACTTTCATCAATGCAGACGTTGGTTCCTAAAATAAAATTCTCTTGAAAGTTTCTATTCAGCAAAGAAATGAAGTCAAAAACTTTGAATAATTTGAATTGCTTTGAACTTTTTTCAAATTGATCTTGTTTTGCATTATCTGATAAGTGAAACGCAGTAAATATTCGGTAGAACTCATCCCTTGGCATAACACTAGCAACCACTTCTGTATGAAATATTTTGTTTCTACTCCAGTAATCTCTTAGCCGAGGCAATCGATGTAAACCCATAATGATTAGTAAACCAAGAAAAGAATGGATACTGCTTTCATCCATCCGTTGCCAATTGCTTACACGATTCTGCGCTAAAGATTTTTTCTCTCCATAAGTATTTGTATGTTTCACCATCAAATCAATAACATCTTTTGTGAAAAACTTGTTAAAAACGTCAATTGGCTTGATGGTGTGGGTGAAAGTAATAGTTGTGCGTTCTTTCACCTCCTTTGGAGAAAAATTTATGTCTTGTAAATGTTTGGCTCCAATTCTGTTCAAGTTCTTTTTTATCTTCATCTTCATCGTCTCCATTTTGATCTTCATCTACTTCTAGATCACTTCCACTCTCGTTGTAAAAGTCGTCTTGTTCATCAAGCAATGAGCCACTTGTATTGCTTTCTGGGTCAGAATCCATTCAATTCTGTTTTTTTTGACGAATTTTATTGTAGGAATGAGTCAGCAAGAAATGAGATGCTTCAATCCGGTTGTACGCGAATTTTCGTAAATGTTTATCCGTCGGAACACTACCTTATATACTTAGTTCTAAGGAACATTCCAGAACTTTCCAAACGGATGACTATGTATCTCTTTTATGGATGGTTTGGAAAGATTCTAGAACGTTTTTTGATATTTCATTCGAAGAGATTAAGCACTCATCTTCATAAACTGTGTTGTGTAAAACAATAACAAGACATGTGTAACATTTTTGCTACTATCGGACTGAAAGGGTTAGTCAAGTTTATGTGGAACCGAAAAACGATAGGTTGTCCATTCGCTGTCCCCATACATATACTGAGATACATCTTGAAGTTAAAAGTGCATAGCTAAACGAAAGTTCGTTCAAACGTCAATCGACGCAGTTCATCATGCTCTACTTATGCTGTGAAAACGAAGTTTTTTGAAAAACGAGTTTCAAAAAAAAGTTCATTTTTCATTCAAAAAACCTGGTTTTGAACTTTTCAGAAATCGGATTTTTAATGTTTTAACCAAAAACACTTTTTTTAATTGAATTCTCTACAAAATGGCGTATTTGTTTTTGAGTTTACTTGCTATGTACAAATTGTACATAGTTGTACAGTTTCCGATTTACTGTCCAGTTTTTGAGCTCTTATTTTGATACAGCAACTTGATTTTTGGGCAGATAGGTCAAATATACAAAGAATACGGAAAGTTGTGAAAATCAAAAGTTTACCATTGTGCCTCAAATATGCTTGACAAAAAAGTGAATAACGCCGTGACGTAAAACATAACGCTTATACTTTGTGTTTTTCAGGCAAATCTAATAATCTAGGTGAAACATTTTTTTTACCATTGGAAAGCCCGTGAGCTGCTCTACAGGATCTGTTTAAGGAACGTTCCGTTTTCTAGAACTACTTTCGCAGCAAATCAGGATTTTCGTAGAAGCACTCTTAAAAAACGGTCTTTTTCCGTAGCGCCGTGATGCAACACTAAAATCCTTCTCAAAAAGTCCAATGCAAGATCCAAAAAACTTCGTTTTCACAGCATAAGTAGAGCATGATAAACTGCGTCGATTGACGTTTGAACGAACTTTCTAGCTACTTTAGTTTCCTAGATAACCGAAGTTTAGTGCATCAAAAACGTAACGCCGTGACGTTTGAGCAAGCCGCTGAGATGAATAGTAGAAATTAAGTATTCTCGATCTCTTATTCAATTTTAAGAAGATTTTTAGTTCATTTTGGGATGCTTTGCGTAATGTGAACAAGCTCAATCCGCCGGTAATATTCACAGGCCTTCAAAATATTTAGTTTCCGAGATCCGGGAGTAATGGCGTAGTCAAGGCCTCTGATTGGTTGTTTTTCATTAGAGAAAAAATGTTTAACGTAGAAAATAGTTAAAAAAGATCAAGAGAGGGATCTTTATCCACTAAAAACATCAATTCGAAATTGAAAACACTTAGAAAGTTCGAAAATTTTCTTATCTTTTACGTATTAGCGCCACCTATAGCACATCAAAATTGAAAAGAAGCCGAGAAAAACACTAATGAAGACTGCTGAAAATAGTAAAACATAAAATTTAGCAATTTTTTGAAGAGAGCAGATCTTGAAATGACCTCAAGGACTATGTCTGGAAGTTCTTAGTAACGGCAACACAATTATGCGACACATTCTTTTTGTGACACAATTTTCTCACAGGAGCTGCGACACATTTTACTGCGACACAAAATGCGACACAATATTTTTTACTGCGTAGAAAAGAAAAGAAATCGATTGCTTGTTAGTTATGGGACTTTTAACTTCAAGATGTATCTCAGTATATGTATGGGGACAGCGAATGGACAACCTATCGTTTTTCGGTTTCATATAAACTTGATTAATTTATATATGTGATTTGCACGCAACATTCAACATAGTTAAACAAACAACAATAGATTAAAAATAACACATATACTAAGCTGAAAGAACAAGCTAAGAGAAATTATTCAAAGAGGCGCTGCGAAATGTCCACTGGAGCAGAGATAAAAAATCTAAACAGACTTTCTTCTACAGTGAGAGATAGATGTTGCTAAAAATCAGCAGATTTTGATAACACGGAAGAAATCATCTGTAAATAATGAAACTCAGGGGCACCCCGATAGGGGAGGGATCCCCCTGCTATTTTAAAAAAATTTACTCCGAAAATTAGGTCTTTGACTTACGAGAATATCCCACAGAGTAAAGCGTTTACTCGTATTCTCAGAGTAAGACAATATGTCAAGGTGCCCCAAGACAGTTTCCTCACTATTTTATATATATGAAATTGTAGCGCGAGAAATTCTCTGTCGATTGGTATATCTGTCGTAGTGGCTAGATGAGAAAGCGTGTCATAGATTATCTTACACTTTTTGCACGTGGAAGATCATTTTCCATTGCCAGAAGTATTTCTAAACAGACTTGACCTCCGAACGACTATTTTCGTATATGTGATATACAAAAATATAGCGCAGAAAAAGAGCTTTCGAATGACATATAATAGTTCTAGTGAGGTATGAAGCCGAGAGAAATACACTCGAAAATATGATCGATAATATATATCAGAAGGTGTAGGACTTTGATTACAGTTAATTCGATCCAATTTTTTCTGAGAGCAATTCTGAGGTCTGCCGAGTGCCTGAAAATATTCTCCTGCTCATTCTCCATCTAACCATGTATGTGTCGATGGAAGTCAGATAGGGGCTGGTTCCATCAACTAATCGGTCCTGTCCTTTAAACAAAATTTCTATATAAAATATGTATTTTGGGCAAACGATGTGGATGTTCAAAGGAAGCTGGTTTCGTATTCAATGAACTAAGTTTGTCTGATGTTCAGAGAGTGAAACCTGCACATATATGGGCGTTTCTGTGATTATGATAACATCCCTAGTAAAATACCTATGAGTCTTCTGACAGGATCCGAGACATATCCTATCAATATCCTATTAGGATTTCGCTTTAAGTTGTTAGGATCTTTAGAAAATCCTACAGAATCCTATTGAAATCAGGTATATCCGAAAGTCATAGGATTTTCTAAGATTGTGTTAGGATCCTAAACAAACTTAAGCGAAACCCTGGTAGGGTTCTAGCATTTTAGAATCCTCCTAGAAAGTTCTTAGTTAGATCCTAAATGTTAGGATCCTATAAGATCCTGGTAAGAAATAAATCGAAAGTGCGTAGGATTTTATCTAGGAATATTCAGGGGCGTACCTACTAGGGAGGGAGGGTACCACCCCCTGCTTTCAGAAAAGTTTCTGTTTTGTGTCTTTCGCTCTTCAAAAAATCGTGTTTTTTGGAAGAACGAAAAATTTTTTTGGGGAGGACCCTCCTACTGTGAGATGCTAGGTACGCCCCTGGGAATATTGCTATACTCATTATGTTTCATTATAGTAAGTACAAATCATCAACTAATGTAGGTATAATAACTTCAATTTAATGAAAAACCATGTATAAGGCGATCTTTTCTGTTCATATATCAATAAAACTAAAAAAAACGTGCACAAAAATGATCAACCGAACACTATTCTGTGTAACCGTCTCCTCCAAGTATGCGAAAGCGATCAATTCAATTTACAAATTAATTGAATATTAATCTTTATTTTTTCTTCTTTATCTTTTAATGAAACAGATTATACAACTCAGCTATTTCTGCTCGTACACTGCGTACCGCGTAGAAGGACTACCAGTCATGAATACCGCACGTCTGTTTTAGTCCAACATCGTAAGCACAAATAATTAGTCATCCTCTAAAAATATAAAGCTTAGCAAGCCGAAAGGTTTCAAAGTCCACGATCAAGTTGCTCCTTAAAAAGATTTTTCCGAGTAGAGAAAATCCTAGAGAAAATTAACCATTTCCGTCAGATTTGTTACCCATTGCCAAACGTTATCAAAATTCATATTTATAGAGCTCATCTTTAAATCTGATTTTCTCTTTCTATATACCGATGAAGAAAAAAAGATTGTTTTTTTCTCAGGTATATACATTTGAAAAATTTCGTGTCAAATTATGACTCATTAACTCGTGAAAAAACGGAAAAGAAAATGTGTTTTTTGCATGAAAGCGTGGAAACGCGGTAGAAAACAACAATGTTTTTTTCCGGTTTTTCTGACATTTAAAAGAAATGATTGAGCAGGGCTGTATGATACGAATATCGGTTTCTGTCAGAAGCAAATGCTAAAACCGATACCTGTTTGTAAGTCATAGAATTTTTTTGGAAAACAGTTCTGAAAGAAGATAATCACTATACAATATACTATAAATAAACTAAATCCTAAATTAATTAATAATGAAAACATTATCACAACATCTCTACGTTACATAAACTATGATTGCTGATCCGAATCTTATTACCATACTGGAAACACTATTAGATTCAACGTTATAAATCACCAAAAACTGAAAATAAATATAGGCGACTATTATTCCTAGTAAGTACGGGAGCTTAACTGGCTGAATTATATTGGCTCTCTTGGTCTATTTTGTTGCACAGAAGATATGAAGTTTCTTAGCCGTTACTTTTGAAGAGGAGGAGGCTGAAGGAAAAAAAGTTATCTTGACTACTATACCTCCATTTTTCTTATTAAAATACATTATTTAGGTATCTACTCAGTAGCCTCTTGTACATGGGAGAATTGCAGCTGATATATACCACGTTTCGATGAAATTGTTTTCGAAAAACTGATATTACAATGGAAGAAAACCGAGTGTTCGAACCGGGGGTGGACCTGTCAGAGAGATAGAAAATAGTATTTTTCCTACTATCACTCACAAAGGAAAGTCAAACCTTAAAAATTTTCAATTTGGTCATTAAAACGGGGACTTTCGTATATAGAAAAGTTCTATTTGATTCGGCTTTAGCACTTTTAAATGAACTACGTGGAAAAAAGCGTGACGTTACTTTTCCACTGTAAATTTAACTTTTTCTTTTAATAGGTAATAATCCTTTAAGATTTTACTCAATTTTCTTTTCGAAATATAGAGCTCCACTAGGTGCATAGAACTGTAAAAAAACCTTTGCCTAGGACGAATGGATCAGTTTCTACAGGCAAAACAAAACGGAAGTGTGATGTTACTTTTTAGTTGAAAAATCATGTTTTAAACTAATTATTCTTCACTTTGTGCCTAAACGTAAACACTTTGGACTTTGTGCTTTTGGTAGTAGATTCTGTATGTTCAGGGCTACTTTCTGACTATTTTGAAGTTACATTTCGATGAAGTTTATCGGACAAAAAGTCTCATGACGTAGTAAAAAGCTAAAATAGTAACGTGAGTTAAACTGACGATACTATTTTAGCTTTTTTCGCATTCACGTTCTATTTCACACGTTGATCCATAAAAACAAAGTTATTTTTAGAAACAAATAACACAGCTTTGCAGCCCAAACAGTCCTCTATCCAATCATGAAAAAAGTTTAAAAAAGGTTTAATAAAAAAAAATACGGAGGATTTTGTGGAGGCCACCAAAGATGTGCCACGTAAAATATCATAAAAAGTACACAATATTTCGCAAATATCCTGATATGGTTAAGAGATGGAGCCGTTCTTCTAGCAGCGTAATTAGAGAGGACTGTCACGAGAAGAAAAAAAAGATAGATGGAACTAGAGATGGACTCGACCATGATTTCCTCTCGAACGGCACTGCCATATCAACTGCAATTCTCCCACATACTCTGCAGGTTTTTATAATAAAAAACTCCGGTCTCCTCAAAGAATGCTGAGAGCTTTATGATCTTCGTTATGAATTCCGAGACACTTGCTATCTATACTAATCAACAAAAGTCTACTTTAGAGATAGTATCATGTCGTGATTCAAAATAATGAGTAAACCCCATATTTAATGATTCTCTTCAAGTAGCATTTTACTTTTCTTTTTTTAGGCAATTGAAACAATCACATGCACTGCAGATGTTAACTCGTGCATAGAAGTGTTTGTCATACTCTATCTGTCTTCTCTGTGCATCAAAACCGAACGTTTCCTCTTCTTTTTCTCTAAATGTAAGGATCTAGAATAGTTTTCTGCTGAACATGAATTGGTCACGTTCATAGTTTGTTTAATATGTACAAATATACATACATATATTCTGTATAGTTTCGATTTCCCCATATCCTTTCTCTCTCTTTTATAGTTCTTCGCCATCTTCAAGATTTTTGATACATGTACAGCATATTCGTATATGTTCTTTCTACAACGTTGAATACATGACCTGACCTCTGATTGTATAGAGAAGAGTTTTCTATGCATAGAAAAACTCTATTGCTTGCATAGGACTATAGCAGCAGTATTAATGAACATTGAGTTCTTCATCCTTTTCTCTTTCTTTTTCTCTTTTTCGAGAACGTACACTCAAAGTTCTTCATATGTAAGCCAGGCTCTATAGTCATCATTGTACAACAGTTAAATAGAAAAAATAATCTGTTTCACGACGCAAATACATCGTACTTTTATGAATCCCTATCAACGAAACTTCTAGTCACTTGTTTTTCATGACTTCTTTCTTCTTCTATTTCATGTTCGTTTTTTTTTGTTTTAAAAGGTTGTGCAGAGGTGTACTTTAGAACATGCGTTTTGTCTTCTAAAATCTTCAAAAAGAAAAGAAGAAAATCGAAAAACTAAAGAGCGTTTTTCGCTCTTATTTTATTCTACCCCGATGCAGTGTTGTATTTTGTTTTATTTAATTTCGACGATGAACTTTACACATTAAGAATAAAGAAAAAAACATTTTTAAAACAAGTTTTTTATTTAGCGCACTATGTATTTGAAAGTGCATCGTATTTTCTTTCAACAACGACAAAATCATCCAACATCGAAGAATGTATTTGGAACTTAGCTCTTTTTTCAGTGTTCGTGTATGTTCTCCGAAACTATACGAGTAGATTTAGAGGTGGATATATGCGTGATTCACATTTCTCTCATATAAAAGACAGAAAAGGAACACATACATACAAAAATGGCAGGGTAAAAGAAAGAGAAGAAAAAAAAGGACGAACGCAATGAGAGTCTTGCGTTTTGGGATGGTGAAGGTTTTTCATTTCTAACTTCTTTATGTAAAAAACCATCCCGTTTTTCTTGATCAGAAACTAGAGTTTCATCGAGTACGCGCGTGTATTGTGTTCTCTCAGTAATGTAGTAATATAGTGACATGTAAATCAAAAAGAATAGTAAACGAGAGGAAAAAATGTACTTATTGCGCTCCTATATTTTGTGCTACGATGATACTGAAAAAGGTATTTCATGTAAAAGCATTCCTTGTAATGGAGGAGGATATGTTGACAATTCAACAAAAGAAGAAGAATAAAAGTTCTCCTTTCCACCGAGTACTGGCAAAAACCTTTATCGTATGTATTTTTGCGTGTGTGGATATTATAAATGTAAGAGGAAAGAGTTTTACGTAGAAAAACAATGAAAACAAATAACATCAAGGCACTTTTTTCTCGTTTTCTGTTTCTATAGTTCTCCAATCAGGCAGTTTTCTCTAGAAGAATATTTCTGTTATAGAAGAACCCAAAATATAAACGACGTTGTTTCAGCGGCGAAGACGGACGGACTTTCACTGACCGTTCGACATTTCTTTTTTTTTTCATTCTGAAATTCTTCAACAAATGCGGACATGAAGGAGAAAAGAATAAGAACGAGAGCGAGAGAAAGAGAGAGAAAAACGCTCTTCAAAAGGCTGTGTTGTAGAAACACTATAGTTCATCATGTATCGGCGACTCTACCTCTAAAAATTCAGACATAAATCAAATACGCACACAGTACACGCACACACACATAAGATCCATCTATACATTTCTTCATATATTCATTTTTTTTTTGTGTATTGTAGACATATACCTTTTCTATATGTTCTTCGTCCATTTTCATCACTGACGAAAAACCTCACAAAAAAAGCAAAAGAGATTTACAATTGTTTGTTCAATCTCGTAATGATTTGAGCTCTTGTTCAACATTTTGACATCAATTGGTCGAATAGGAAAAGAATAAAAAGATCATTTTTTAAATACAATGGATTTCACAACAGTAAGCTCTCTTCATTTTCCAACTATAATATTTATAATTCTGTAAAACTTTTTGTTTAGAAATCCGTCTTGAAATGGGAAGTGGATGATGTGGTTGCTTGGCTTAACGAATCTAAACTTGGTGATTTTGAAAAAATCTTCAGAGGTATCTAAACTGAATATTTTGCAAATTTAAAGATTATTTTCGTTGAACTCCTCTTTCTTCAACAGAGCAGCAGTATGAGGTCTCTTCGATTAGCACATATTTTCTAAAGACATTGTTTACGATACAAGAGAGTAATACGACCATCTGTTGATGTATACATTCTATCAGCAATAATGAACCTTGTTGATTTCGAATTGCTGCCTTCGTTGTTTCAAAAATGATCTTTCATCTGGAGTAACTATGGCAGCTTCATTCTGTCAATATAAGCGCTGTGAAACTCATTACAGAAATTGAATCAACACTTTTTATATGCTCTATATATTTCGACCCTCTGAGTATACTAGTAACAGTTTCTCAATCTAATTTTGCCCAAAGTAGCGATATTTTATCTTAATAAATAGACTCTACAAATCAAGGTCGTAGTCAAGAGCGAAGAGATCCTTTTAAAACTCAACAAGAGAGTAGCCAAATTTTTGACTCTCATATGTGAATTCTTTTTCTTTATTCGACTACGCACACATGTTTCCCTTTTCTTCTCTCTCTCTCTCTCTCTCTCTCTCCTCGTGGTGAATTTGTCTCTTGGGTACGAGAGTTTTATTTTTGTTATTATTTCTTAAATCGTGCTTTCTTCTATTGAAAATCTTTGTTTTTTTGTACTGAACGGTGATTCTGCTTCGTTTGAAAACGTCGTTAAGGTTTCATAAGGTATATTGTTGTGTGTGTATGTGTATATAGCTTTTTCTTCCGATCTAATTTAAGAAGAAAAATGTAAAAATATCTACTGTATAAATTTTGAGAAAAAAGTAAAAAATTAAAATCATATTTTCTGACGGACGACAGATAAAGTACTTTTCGAATCCCTTTCAGTTCTTTAAATGGTTATTGGTTAAAAATTTTCAATCGATTTCGATCTAATAGTGACAGCCGTTTTTTCTTGTTTAAACGGAATCTCAAAAATCATTCTTTTTGGTCTTTTGTAATAATTATTATTGATAGCAGAGGAACAGCGCAAACATGACTAAAGAAAACGATCAAAATCAACATCTTTATAAAAGAAAAGGCATTTTTACAGGTGATTGGCAGTCAATGACCTAAAGATGATAATTTATCTATCAGATGAACGTACATGATAGTAATGATGTAATCCTACAGTTCAAAATTATATCTAAATAATTACAAGAAACGTCTTTACTAGCCAAAGTCAAAACAATATGAAAGTACGAACTAAAGACTTAAAAAAGGTCTACGGTGCAGAAAAGATGATCAAATATAATTCAAATAAAAGACGTACAAGTTGTAGCTAAAATATCATTTTTGGAGAATCTGCCACAAGGTCTGAGAGTACAACATATTTTTAAACTACTCTTAATTAGTTTTTTATGGTTTGCTAACGTCCTTAAGTGGATGAGGGTTAGAAACAAGATCTAGAAATGATGTTGTTGTATACGACTTCAAAGGGTTTGTTTCTGCATTTGTAAGACTTTTTTTAATATAGTCAGCATTTCATGAGAACGTCTTCCAAATTGTACCTCTTGTGTACCCAATAGAACCTTATATTTTTTCTATATCTTTTGTTCAGATAATGAAATTGATGGTCTAACATTATTGAAATTAAATGATGCCATGGTTGTACGATTATTTCCTACAATTAGATTAGAAATTCAATTTATTGATCTACTTAATCAACTAAAACAAAAACATTCATGCGAAACGAATGGTAGCACATTATCGTCATGTTCGACAACAAGCGTTCCTGCTCAAGCGTCATCGTCATTCGATGACAATCTGTCAAATTCATCATCGCCATCCAATCATAATAATCATTCAATACATTATAATCATCATAAAATTTCACAGATATCTCGTCAAACACCAAAGCCACATCCACCAAAAATGGTCAAACGTGAACCAAAATATTATTCACCAGCAAGGTATTATTTAATATCTTGATTATAATTAAAATTTCATTTTTCTTACTATATTGTTTAACATTTTTAGTTTACAACAAAATTTATCGTTAAATGCCGGCGAAAATGGCAATAATGGTAGTTTAGACAGTGGAGAACATGATACAAAACATTCATTTCCACATATCTATCAATTACCGGCATTTCCTGATACATTACGTTTAGCACTTTTAAGCCAAGATCCAAGTGCATTTAAATTACGAACATACTATAGAAATTTATTAATTAGTTCATTATATGACGATTTAACAAGAACTTATAATTTATGGTAAGATGATGATATGACAAATTAAATGATCTAGTTATGTACGATTCTTTTCACATTTAGGTATCCAAATGCTCGCCAATATAAGACTGTTGCCTCTGCATTAGTAAAAGCTTATCCTTTTCTCGAACAATCAACGGACGGAGGAGAATCTGCCTGGGTTGATGGTATCAAAGGAAAGTTTAAACGTGGTCGTCGTACTGTAACAAGTTATACTGATGTTGTTCAACCATCTGAAAATGGAATGGATAATAGTAATGGACATCTCGGCGGTGGTAGCATAGATCAATTTGACGATAATGATGAAAATAAACCGCATGGACAAAAACGTTCGAGACATGAATTAGAACTAGACACATATTCAGATAATGAAGATTATGAATCGGGTGAAATGATGGAAAATCAAAAAGATCAAGTAAGTTAAAGAACTCTTCGTACTTATACAATTAGTTTATTTAGCCAGGAAAGATGTAGTTTTAATTGATGTTTTTTTTCAGGAACAAAATAGTGAAAATAATGATGAACTTGATGATGAAGAATCTAATCGTTTACGTGGTTTCATTCATGCTATGCAAGAAGCCATGGCATCTTCTGAACCTGATTTATCTCTAATTACGGATTATTTTAAAGAAACGTTTCATTCTCGACGATCCTTTGTTAAAACTCATAACACAACTGAAATTTTATCCGAATACCCAGCATTAACCTTACAAACATGTGTAAGTTAAGGATGATTAGACCTTAATTAAGGTTATTTTTCTATCTCTTTCTCTTTCTCTCTTTGATTCAGTTGCTAACGGATTTTCATATGCAAACAAATATCCCAATACAAACTGTATTCATCCATAAACTACGTTCGATATCGAAATCAATATTACGCCTAGCAAAAGAAACGAGTTGTGCACCAGAAATATTACAATCATATCATGCCATTGTTACACAAAGACCACAACTTGATCAAAGTATGTAGTTAAAATCTCTTATTGAACAATCATATCAATTTAGTTTTACTGATTTAGTTTTGGCCGATACGTTTGCTCTTCTCATCGTATCAAGATATTTCGATGAAGATCGTTTTTTACTGACATCTTCAGAAAAAGTAAGTTATTACTATAATAATTTGAAACTTAATAGGAGATAGATTAAAATTATGCTTCGACTGTTTTATGCATTTTTCCTCGTTACAAATTCTGTCCTCAATGACGGCTTATATTTTTTTTCTATTTATTGATAGATACTGTATTTTCACATTCGAGTTTTGTTGATTTTATTAGCTATAGTAGTATACTATATTTATTGACTTTTTCTTACATTTTATGCTTCCATCTCTTATTATTGATTATTTTAATCCCAACATGCCCTTTTTTATTGATGTTTCTGACGAGGGAACCTTTCAAAGTGATTAAACGCTTTTTGCTCAGTCTAGTGGGTTATAGGTTATCAACCATGCTCATTACGAATATGACCATGGGGGTTACCCTTAGCCGTTCGAAGACCTGGTTTTCTAGAAAACCAGTTTTTTCAGAAACTCTAAAATATAACCCGAACCTTTCTTAATGGAGTATGACTGTAGCCCGCACATTTCTGATTGAAATGAGACATCTCCCAGCTTTATACGACCTTTCTTTGCAAAGTTATAGAATTTACAGGAAAAGCCCTAAATGGTCAGTGTCAGCTCAAAGCTACAGAAATAAGAAATTAATTTAGGGCTTTTCTTGTAAATTCTATAACTTTGCAAAGAAAGGTCGTATAAAGCTGGGAGACATCTCATTTTAATCAGACATGTGCGGGCTACAATTATGCTTCATTAAGAAAGGTTCGGGTTATATTTTAGAGTTTCTGAAAAACTGTTTTTCTGGAAAACTAGGTCGTTTAACCACCTCGAAAAGTTCCCTCGTGAGTATACATTTAAAACATTCATCATACAGTTGTTTTAGAAAAAAGTTGAAATATCACTCAGTACAATAAGATAAACGAAACTAAATTTACCTTTTTGTCCTGTTCTGTATTAAAGTCATCATGAAAATGACATTCTTATTTAAGGATACCAATTCTCCGTGGCCAATAATTCGTGGTGATCATCCAGCCAATAGTTTTTATGATGGTAAATCGATATCGTACAACATTGAATTAGATTATATACGCTTGTTTTCACGTCCACTAAATGATTTTCTAACAGCTATTATTACATTATTTGCTGTTTATACGGTATTTGAAATAACCTACGGTAAACTAGAAATGACATTATCATTTATCGATTGTCTGCTAAGAGAAAATCAAAGTTCATCAACACGTCCACCACAAGTGATTGAATTAATTAATGAACTAAATTCAATGAAATAAAACTCATTAATTAATGCTCGTTTTCACGTCAGTAGCATAGTAAAATTCAAAGAGAATGGATTAATCTCACTGGCTTCTACATATCATGATTTCTGTCACTTGTTTTTTCTTTCGTTGGTTCTTTTTTAAAAATTCTTAATGAATAATGCAAATAGAGCATGTAGTTATTGGTTTACTCCCATTCATTTTTTTTTCTTGTTTATATCTCATACATTCAACTTTGTTTTTTTCCCATGTGTGACTTCTCTTGTGTACATGGTACTTGCTTGTTTTGTGTGTTTTGACAAAAAAGATTTCTTCATTCACATTTTTTTTGGTATCTAAGCGTTTTGTTTGATATTTGAAAAAATATATTCTTGCATATGCACACACTAAGTAACTATTTTATATCAGAACGAATTAACAAACTTCAGGACAACAAACTACTGCTAGTTTTATTCGCTAAACATTATAGGATCGAAAAAAGTGAAAAAAATGGTTTTGGTTCAAAGGTTTTCTTGGAGCCCTTTCAGAAAACTAAGATTTTTATAAATATTTTTCCAGATTATTTAAAACCTAGTTGTTCTGAAGTTTTCAACTCATTCGAATATATCATTGAATGTAATACTAAATGGAAAGAGCTGGAAAACTCGAGGTATCTTAAAACTCGGCTTTCACCAGACCAGTTAGTTTAATTAATATGTGAACATGTTATTCACGATGGCGTAGCCACAGGGATTACTCAGCTCACTTCAGAATGCCTTGCGTTTCTCCGAAGATATTTTAAAATTGCTTTTTTGGAAAAGTTGATGTTTTTGATGCTAATCGCGCTAATTCTTCATAAAATATATATTTACCTACGATATTACGGTCTAATGTTTTTTCATCGTTTTGAATGTTCAAAATAAGTTATATGTCATCTGATCCATACGAAACTTCAAACTTGAAGATGATATATTAATCAGCAAGTCCAAACGTCTTTCTGAAGTGTTAATGATTTTATACGTTAGAAAAGAGACTAGCATTTTTCAACTAAAACTATCTTGTTTTCATTAGTACTCCAGAATCTGGACAATGAGATCTTTTTAAATTTGCATCTACATGTATAATAAATACATTTGGTGATTTGTCTATTTCATATAAAATAAAAAGACAAACAGCAAAACTAAACATTTTTAAATGGATATTAGTTGTCAGCTCTAAAAAGTATCAACAAATTTCACCACACTTAATTAGTGTTTTCTATCTAACATCGTCGAAGTTCTTTGGTTATATAATAGAGAACATAAAGTAATGCTATGGTAATTGTAGAAATTGTCGGTAGAATATAGGCTATACATTTTGATGAATTACAAAGTCCCGTAGAATTATTTGAACAATTACTCCAGGCAATGCATAATAGAATGAACGCAGTAAGAAACATGACTGCAAATGCGTTATCTATAATCATATTTGTCATCGTCGTTCCATCGTCTTCATCAAATTGTCGTGAAATAAATATAAATCCATCGAGCACAACGGCCACCCATGAAAGTACATAAATATATTCACGATTACGCCATTGTCCAAAACTAGCCGGAGGATAGCCACAAGATATTGAGTTAACATAAATTATTGTAACAATTAGTAATATTAAACGACATATATGCATAGTGCCTCTCTGTGATCGAAGATAGTTGTTGCCTATGCCAGAATCATAACTCTCACCGGAAGACATTAAGTTTTTGTTTTATTTAAATAGAACAATAACTCAACTAATATGTCATCATATCTCTTATGCTATTTGTTTACTTCGACTTTAACATATAAAGTATGTTTGTCACGTGATCTAATTGAGTACACCGACAATCTAATTATCGTATATCTAACATTATATCGTCAAACACATAATGAGACAAATACAACCAAAAAGTTGTTATTAAAGAAGCACTGATATGAGTAATCTTTAGATGTAAGTATATAATTTCTGTATAGAACTAGAGCTTAGGAGTCCTTGAAAAACATTTCTTATAATAAGAATGACATCTATTTAAGAATATCCTTCTTATTTCTCATCTTGTCACAGAATCGTAACGATAAGTCGCAGAAAGGATAAACTTTCATTAGACCTTGTTCTCAAAAAATAAAATAGGCATAGTTTTTTCTCCGGATCCTTATAGCCATTTTTTGGTAGAATTTTTCTAGGAAACCAAGTTTTTCATTGCACATAAACTTTTCCCATCGAAACTTTATCCATTTGGGTTAAAATTGTTCCCAAAGATACTAGACATCTAAGCACTGGATTTTTTTTCAAGGTGTTTTTCGATTAAAATACGTGCTTTTCTAAAAATCAAATTTTTTTGAAGAATTAGTAGGCTTTAAGAAAATCTACACTTTTTTTCTCAAATAACTTGAGTTAAGTAGAATCCATTCAAGATCTTTTGTTTTCTTTAGATTATACTCACAAAAAAAATGACCATCTCGTTCTTTGGAAGACCAGTAGGCATTCTTTGCATTGTACGTCTTATTTTGTTAATTATATTGATTATTTTCACAGAAGTCTATGTCAAAGATTGTAAAGGCTACTTAAAATATCGATTAGGCTTTGATAGTAGATCAGCCGTGATGTATTCAGTTATAATATGGATTGCTCTCGCATTTGACATATATATTTTTATCAATCGAATTGGTGGAAGTTCGCATATTCAGGCAAGAACTGGAATAAAAGTTGTCTTTGGATGTTTGGCATTATTATTTGTTTTGGGAGCAACATTTTGTATCGTAGGATTTAGTCGAGATAGTCCACATTCTTGCCGTGGATATAAATGGGTGGGCATCGTATTTGGTATAGGTAAGTTATTTCTTTATTACGCTTTTGGGAGTTTTCATACTAAATCTTTGCATCTCTCCAACGAATTCCATAGATAAATCACACTACTTTTGTATTTTAGTTATCGGTTTACTATATTTTGTGAAAGTGATACTAATTATTAAGAAAAAAGACTAAGACAAGAAGAAACATTTTCTCTATATTTATCACTCAACGTTCTTGTTATTAAATAAGAAAAAGTAATAATGTTTTAATTATTTTTTGAATAAAAGAACGTATAGATACTTCAAAAATACAATCTCAACAACACGTGTCTGCATAGACTTCATGAACAAGATAGCTTGGTGGCTCGACTATAACGGTTGTTTTTTTTCGATATCCTCCACTTACAAATAAACACGTTTTATTTCCTCTATCACTGTTTTATTTAATTCAACATATTTTACATATACTTGATGTAAGCACAAGTAGTCACAATACACGTAGAAAGACACCAGAAAGAAGAAAAAACAAAAGCCGACGTTATAAGAGTGTGCTAGGTACAATGATCGCCGGAAAAAAAAGTGTTTTTGAAAAAACACATACAAAAAAAAAGAAGAGATGATATAAAATAGAAATAAATAATATACTTTATTAATGAATTTCATTTGCTAAGCGTAGACATTCTTCTGGCACACGATCAGGAGCTAAAATTATTAAAAATAAAGAACTAGTAATTGGTATAGATATGAAATTTCAAGCTAAAAAAACAAATACCTGAAACCATTGACGTTGTTCGACTCATTTCCAAGAGGGAAGTTCTAGCAGCTAGAAAAGAAGAAAATGATTTGCTGATCAACATCGATCAAACTATATGTGAAAAAGGGAGTTTAATTCTGTTTTTTAAGGATATCTCTTTGCTTAATTGAATGAAATTGTATGAGAGTTGAAACGTAATAGAATGAAAAAAAAATTTTCTAACAAATTTGCAAACTATTATAGATTAAGACTTGAAATAAAAGCAAAAAGATACTACTCCTTTTAGTTTTCCAATTAATGTTAAAAAATATAAAATATTATTTGTTTTTAATTTTAATTTGAAAGTATTTCTACGGAAAATCCAAGAATAGGAAAAGAGTATCTTTAACTTTAAATATAACAATTTTTGCACACTAATTGCACAAAATCCACACGATTTATGATGATTAAAATAATTTAGGTTCTCACCTGTGCGTAATTGTGATAGATTTAAATATGTATTTTTCCAATCATTTATTGATCTATTAAGGTCCTCTTGTGAATCACAGGATACCGTTGAATGAAACGATTCATACAGTGGTTTTAATATTAATGAATATGGATAAAAACGCCAATTTTTTCTTGTACGTTCACTAATATAAGAATTTAATAATTGAAAACATACTTCTCGTGAACGACGAGAAGGTGCCAATGGTATACCATCATCGGGTAAACTAGCTTGATATTGTGTTATCTGAGATTGTAAATGAATTATTTCACGTTGAAGACTTATGGCTTCTTCGTGCATTTTTTCATTAATTTTAGACACTTGTGTAATATGATTAGCAGCTAAAAATAATTGATCATTTAAAATACTAGATATTGTACATACACTCTTTACACAACTTACTGCACTCCAGCATTTGTGCTTTACTTATTTTTGCGTTTGCGGGATCAGCAAGTGCGGGTATCAATGATTTCAACGAATCAAATCCGTACTAAAAAAAACACAATAAAAATTAATGATAATACTTTTATTTCACGGATTTTTACATGTGGTATGGGAAACTGTATGAAAACAATTACCTTTATATTACATCGTCGTTTCTGTTCAGCATTTTGGTAGGCTAAACTTGAACATGTCGATGATGGAGACGAATCAAGCGGCTAAAAAGAAATTTTTCAAATATAATAAATATGAAATTCAACTATAACTTACACATTCTTGATTGTTCATAAATGTGCCATCATTGTTATTACTTTTCATTGCTGTTGACATTGTTTTCGTCATCATCAGATGCTCATTATTATTATTATTATTATTATTATTATTATTATTATTATTATTACTATTATTATTATTATTGTTACTATTATTATTTGAAGAAGATATTTCGTGTGATATTGCTCGTGATTCATTGTTCAATTTCTTTTTATCGACTTTGTCCGTGGATGTCGAAAGATACTAAAGATGTATACATTGTAGGAATCAATTAAAATTAAGTAAACATGTACTACCTGTATGCTGTTGATACTGTTTTTGTCATTAACTGATAATAATCGTTTCGTGTTTGTTGCCTTTGCCGTTGTTTTTCGTGATTTTACATTGGTGTTAGATTTTATGCCTTTTGTGTTTGAATGTGATACAACAGAATTTGTTGGTGTTGTACGTTTTTGATAAAGAAGATCAACAAGTGTAGAAGACGGAGGCTTTGTAGTTGGCAATGGAATAGTATCATTACTTTGATGCAATGATTGAAGAACATTTGTGGAAGAAGAAACAGAATAACTCGATGAATTTTGTGGTGCACACTGTTGAGTTTGAACTGGCTGAGGATTTAGTGAAACACTTGTAGGCATTTGTAAATTTGTTATCGATGGAATAGTTGTCAACTGACCAATGTTCTTAAAATCATGAAAAACAATGGGTAGTTAGTTAGACAGTAAATAGACAAAAACATACGTCAACTGTTTTATTCAATTGTTTTGATAATGATGACGACGTATATGAATTATATGATTGATGAGTTAGTGGTTGGTAACTGACATTGTACATATTCATTGAGTTTAATGTGCCATCCATTGACATACCCTTAAAGAAGAAATAATATATAAGAAAAATCATTTAAAAATCAGATATAATGTATTACCGAATTTACACCGCTATTTGTACTATTAACCAAAGTGCTATGATTTAAAATATTTTTTTGTGGCATCATTAATCGTGTTCGATCGGGAACTGTTACAGAAGAGAGTGGTTGTCGTTGAGCAGCCACTGTGGCAAGTGTTTGAAAATTACTTAGATCATGATCTGTTCGTATGTTCATAACATTTGTGGAAACGTACGGTGAATGTGAAAAATTATTTAATAATAACTAAAGCGTGGATAGGCGCATTAGCAAAAGAAAAAGGCATTTGTCAACATGCAAACACGTACATTATCTTTTGAAACAAGATTAAATGGATCGTCTGCAACAAAAAATAACAAAATCAGAGTAGCAAAGGAAAATTCTATACAACAGATATGTTTAACTTACTTGAAAATGGTCCATCAAAACCATCCAATAGGGAAAAATCAAAATTTGTTGTCATTTGCATTCGACCCATGGCAGGTTGATAAAAATCGGGGTTTCCACTCAAACCTTAAAAAAGGTTCGATTAAAAGTAAGTGATCATTTTGTCGAGAACAGAACACACACACTAATTTTAAGTTAGCGACAATGTTTATTTTTTAGTACAACCGATCTTAGTCTGCACACATTCATTCAACAAAGCAATAAACAAAGAAAAAAACATGTAGCTTCGAAGATAATTCTTTGTTAAAATAGATTTGGCGAGTATTGTTTTTGTGAAAAAGGCAATGCAAATAATGTAGATATGCTGGTAAATACACAACACGGATTAAGATAGATCACAATCTAAACGTGTGTAGCGAGGCGGTGGATAACATCTATAAATTTGATTTTCTGATAAAGTTAGCGCAACAACTGTAGAAAGTGATATTCTGGTTAAAGATTTAAATGCAAGCCGAAGAAAATAAATTATTGGATAAGGCCACGGATTAAGAAAAATGTGTCCCTGCGTTAACAAAAAAGGATGGAGGAAACACATAGCAAATATGTCTGTTTTACCTGTAGATGGAAAGTCTGAAAAACAGAATAGTATAAAACAGAATATCGCCTGATATCCGAATAAAGCAATGCATAGTAATAATAAATTAAATAGAAAAATTAAACACAATTAAAATCTTACCAGAATCTCTATCATTAAATCCCATAGTTGTTGAGAAGATAGTATCATCAATTAAATCAAAATCATCAAAGCAAAAATCAAATGGTTGTGGTGGCGGTGTAGCAATACGACGAAAATTTGGTATTATTTTTGGTTGATGAGTTTCGCTTACTTTACCCAATAAACGTTTCATTTCATCACTCTAAATTAGAAGAAATTGAAAAAATAATTAGACTGATACAGCACAATGTGCTAAAAAAAAGCGAAATGTACTTAATCAAGAAGAAAGTCAATTGTTCGCTTCAAAAAAAGATAACATATCACTGATGAAAGAATTTTCAAATTCAACTAACGTGGTTTGAGAAATTTGACAAGGAACGCTTCAGACTATTGGTTAATCCTGCTAGCAGTTTCTGCTTTTTCAAAAATTACCGAGATATCATTTTCTAAACGTCTTAATGTTGTTTTTGAATTTTGTCTCCATTTAAAATATTCTGCTTTTAAACTGTTGATCATGGATTGTTTCGATTGTGCTGTAAATTGAGACTAGAACACAGAATAAATAAGTGCTAATAGTTTAAAAATATAAATGTATTGTCCATGTGACTAGAGTGGAAACTAGCGAGAGAACCTCCCCAAATGTACTCTCGCTTTTTTAACGAAATGTAGTGGGTTGTAGTTAATCGACCATACTGATTTCGAATATATTCATTTGGGTTCATAGACCTTTCCTAGCCGATTTTTGGAAAACCAGTTTTCCAGAAATCGGCTAGGAAAGGTCTATGAACCCAAATGAATATATTCGAAATCAGTATGGTCGATTAACTACAACCCACTACATTTCGTTAAAAAAGCGAGAGTACATTTGGGGAGGTTCTCTCGTTAGTTTCCACTGAGCAGTCAGGTTTAGCTTATCATGAGTTTTTTACCGGTATATTTCTGGAAACTGTATCTAATGGACTAACGAACTGACAGACAAATGTTTTCATACTACATTTATCTAAACAAGAAGGACTAAAAGGTCGATATATTGAAAAAAATTTTCATTTAAAGTTTACATTGTTGATGCCACGTTCGCCAAATAATATTGTTTAATCGAATTTTATCTTGACACATCAGTTGTGAACCTTTGAAATTTTTCCATTTTGGAGACGTTAAATTTGAACTAAAATGATATAGTATAATCTCTTTTCAATTCTTTCTAAAATCTTGTTTAATTAATGATTCTAACCGATAAACTGAATTGATTAGACGAAGTAACGGAACTATATTTGTAAACATTTCATTGATTTCGTTCTTCTTCACATCAGTTTCTTGTGGCGCTTCAGCGAGTGGTAACCCTTGAGTTCTCATTAATTCTACTGTGTCAACTGGAATTGGACTTGGACATGGTACATCGTAGAGAGACTAAAATGAGCGTATAATAATATAAAATAATCTGTCAAATTATTTTTAATGTCATGAACTATTATGATTTACTTCATTGCAATTATCGTGTACATGGGATTTCATAAATTGTCCAGAATGTACAACTTGTTTATCTTCTTGACGGTTCTTTTTTACCATTGTTTGTACTCTAGTACTTGGCTCAAGTTTAATACGTTTTGCTGTTGGAGTTTGAGACATTTTTAAACTAAAGACAAAAAAATATCATCTATTTTTTACGGATACGGTGTTAAGAATTTCATATACAATTGAAGAAATAACTGAAGTGATTATGCGAAAGTAATCCTCTTTCTCTCCTCTATCACATAAAAATATAATATTATTTTCTCGATTGTTATTCATAATATGAATAAATATAAATGAAATATTTTGCAAAGAAAAACATAGCAGAAGTTTTGTTTAATGCAAAGAATGGTTTTAGTAAACAAAGGACATGATATGAAGGAAGATACATTATTGGCCATGGTTCTTTTTGTGTCTTCCTTGTTCGCCTGTTCTTTGCCTATCCTATTAATCAAAAGAGGAACAGATGTTTGTGGAAAGAGAGTGTACTGAAGGTGCACGACATCTATGTGAGTGATGTGTCGACCGTACTAAGTAATTTTTTGTATGTGTTATAAAAAATCTACAGATTTAGCCAATGAGTCTTGAAAAAATGACTTGTAATTTATCAAACATCTTTCTTTTCATGATGAATGTTTCGACATTTTTGGAGATTTTCCTTAGAAAATGATCAGTTTAGGTACATTGAAGTTGCTCAAAAGCACTAAAAGTTCTTCTATTATAAAAACTCACTCAGTTTGCTAATTGTTTTTTACGTATTAATCGTTAACTTAATGGAAAGCACTATTGTTGATTACATCTGTCGATTTTTAATCTACAAAGTTATATTACTTTTTCAGGAGAAGTTCTAAAGCTAATTGCTTTACAGAATCTTCGCTTTAGAAGATACTCAGGTCTAGTGGCGGAGCCAGCTATGGGCGAGAGGGGCTGAGCCCCCTCTAAAAATTTATAGATTTCAAGCATTAAATTTAAATGAGTTTACCTCTGACGGAGTTTAGAAAATTTCTGGACTGAGCCCCCTCTAGATCAAACTTCTCGCTCCGCCGCTACTCCGGTCCAGAAAAACTGACTGTAAATTTAGTTTAACTGATAGTATTATAGTTTTTAGATCATTAATTTAGCGGTCTGAAAATAGGCAGTTTACGGTCAAGCTTAAAAAATGAGTATTTAACAGAGTCGCTAACTGCCGGTTTTTTAGTTTGACCGCCATAGTGAAAGTACTCATACTATGAGTACGACTTTACTTATAATTCGTTTATGAGTACTCATATGAGTTCCACTAACAATTTTGGAGTATTGTTACTCAGTGAGCACTCAGAAAATATTCATTCACCGTTTTATTTTGCTAAAATGCAACTGTATAAAGAACATAAAATTTCGTAAAACAAACAGAATATTTATATTATTTTTTCGCTGGTCTGAGATCACTCCTCTATATAAAAATATCAGACGAGCAGGAGTATTTTGTCAAAATTTGTATGAGTATTCACCAATACTCAAGCATGAGTGCTCAAAGTCATACCCATAATACTGATTACTCACTCATGAGTACACATGTAAGCATTCACTCAATGAGTAAAAAAATGTGTGGGTACTCTGTACTTCTCGCATTTTTCAGCATGAGTACTCATCTGAGTACTCGCACTTAAGTACATTCACTAGAGCGCCGCTAGTTCACGCTCTGAAACGGACGTACTTTGAAAACGGTCAAAAAACGGCTCGTTAATGATGTTACTTCTTTATCACCGTTATATTTTGTTTTAGATCGACAATATGAAGAATACAGAAAATGTTAAGATACCGAAAAAAATTTTCTTCCGTTCTCAGGCGGACTCGGAGCTCATCAGACTCCTTGCAGAACTGTAACTCCAGCTGTTAAGACATTTCTGTAGTAATACATGAAATCGAGTTAAAACTTGAAAAATAGGAAAATGATCTTAGAATCATCAAAAAATAATTTAAATAAGATCTTAAGGGTACCCCCACCCCCCTTTTTTCATCTTGTTACCAGATGCCGAGCACACGTTCGATCGAGTTCGAATTTATACCAGAGATAAAAGAGCGAAAAAGAAAATCGATGTGTTTTTGCTTAGAATTTTGTAACATGATCTTCTATGAGTTTTTTGGAAAACTCCAGTTTTCATCCAGTCACATTATGACCCATCCAAAAAATGGTCTGGTCGAGTCGAAATTTTTACCACAGATACTCCGGACCCTATCCCAGAATGAAAATTCTTTTTTTCGAAAAATAGGCTTTCCTTCTCGAGATATACGAAAAATGCTGAAAACCATACAAAAAAAAAAACAACAGTTTTTTTCAGATTTTTCAGGTTTTTTTGTATGGTTTTCAGCATTTTTCGTATATCTCGAGAAGGAAAGC